ATCCAATGCGTTTCGCAGGACAAAAGCCTGCTTGCTCAGGGAGATTTAACACACATTATAAATAGATCCAGAATAGTCAGACAGAACACATAGACAATAAGGCAAAAACAAATAGCAACAATATATTTAAATTTACCAGGAGATAGCATCTAGTTATTCATGAAACAGCTGAGAGACCATGATCATTCCAAACTAGAGATGACCTTTTCAAATATTATATACAAAGAGTATCCGCCAAGTGGGCAGTTGAATTGAGCCCCTTCTGAAGAAAGGGAAAAAAAAAAAAAAACAAAAAAAACGAACAATTCAGCAAAAAGTGATGGAACTGGTAGCCAAAAAATTAAGTTAAATATATTTCTATCGAAGAAAAATGGGGGACCCTAAATATGAACTAATTTAAATATACATATCCACTCATTCAGGAGGTATACGAAGTCCCAACAATCTTCAAACTACACCCCTGCTCCGCAAAATAGTTTCAGTACAAACAAATTGGGACACTATATATGAAATCTGGTCACCCCATAATAAACATTTCTATCCATACACAATTGGTAACCATATTTATTTATCGTACATCATGGGACACAGGGCAGGCAATTCATGTGGGTTATGTGCCACCTATAGGTGAATGGACACTGCCCGACCAATCGGAGACATCCTCTCCCATATAACCCCTCCAACAATGGAAATACTTCAGTTTTTCTACCGGTGTCTGTAAGGTGGATGATCACTGAAAGTGTTACATGTGCTCTAGGAGCATACCTGAAGGTCCAGAAAGGTCCAGAATCATGGACTTCATTTGGATTCATTCAGAAAGCTGTTAGCCAAAATGGATGGTACCTGAGCCTCGCTGTAAAGGAGAAGAATCCTCGGGGTTTTGCCTGTAATGCAGCCTTATGGCCGTGGACCTTGCATATGGGAACCCTGTGCAGTATAGTACTGACCAAGGCGCTTTCGGGCAGGGTGCCATACAGGTCTGAGGCAGTGGGTGGCCATTTTACCTTGTTTTTGTAATCCCATGTGGCTGGCGGTTTGTGAGGCTCCTGAGAAGTAGCACAGACACAGAGCAGTCTATGGCTGGATGATGGTGTGTGAGTATTTCCTTTGGGGGAGCTGCATGACCAGACAGGACATGATTATACACTGCATTAGCCTGCATAATCCTGGGGGGCTTGTACAACTGTATTTTGATACACCATTGCAGGGGTATCAGTGCACTTAAAGGAGTTGAGTCTCCAGAGTAACTTACATTTTAGCTGCACTGAAGCAGCATGGAGGCTGCTTTCAGGCTGTTTGATACACATGAGTTGCCTAGCATGGAACAAAGTGCATTTAATTTTGACGCAGTTCTTTAAAACCATACACTTCTCCAAATCAGGATAGTTGCAGCATTGTATTACATTATAGCATGCATACCTGCATACTTTTGTGAACTATTGAATAAACTGCATTTGTACATGCATTAGTGCATGCATACCTGATGCTTAGGCCGCATCCATATATATGTATACGCATTGCTTAGGCTGCATTCGTACCTGATGCTTAGGCCACATCCCTACATGCGTACCTGATGTTTAGGCCACATCCATGCATGCGTACCTGATGCATGCGTACCTGATGCTTGGGCTGCATCATGGCTATGGATATATATCCCTGAGGGACTGCATAGTTGGGTGACAATATAGTTGCTGTCTTTTTTTTTTTTTTTTTCCTTAAAGGGTCCCAAAAGAGGTAGCCAATAGAGAGAGAGGCGGCTACACTGCCCAGGAAGAGGTATCGCCTCTGTAGGAGGTTGCTGGGGAAGATGGTGTCCTCAATTGAGGCTATTCCCTATGCCCAGTTCCACTCCAGACCGCTGCAAAGGAACATTCTGACTGGAACAAGAAGGTTCCGGCCCTGGACTACGGTATATTCCTGTTCCGGAGGTACTGCAAAGCCTAAATTGGTGGTTGATGACTCACAATTTGGAGAGGGGGAGATCGGCCAGTGGTGTGAAAACTGGTAACCACCGATGCCAGCCTCTCAGGTTGGTAGGCTGTCCTGGAGGAGGCCACAGTTCAGGGAACTTGACTTTCACGGGAAAGGGTTCTACCCATCAATGTCTAGGAACTTCGGGCAGTGAAGCTGGCTCTGAGCTATTGGACATTCAGGGTTGGCCTGTAAGGATTCAGTCTGACAATGCCACAGCAGTTGCATACATTACCCACCAGGGTGGCACCAGGAACTGAGGGGATCAGGAGGAGGTGAATTACATTCTGACCTGGTCAGAGAGGTATGTTTCAAGGTTGTCAGCGGCGTTTATTCAGGGGGTGGAAAATTGGCAGGTAGATTATCTCAGTCACCGGCTGATGATTCCAGGGGAATGGACTTTGCATCCTGAAGTTTTCAAGGGAATCTGCCAGCGATGGGATTGCCCAGACATAGATCTATTGGCATCCAGGATCAACAGCAAGGTTGGTCTTTTTGTGTCCAGGCTAAGGGACCCTCTTGCGACAGGGGTAGCTGCCTTAGTGATTCCTTGGAATCACTGAGTTATGCCTTTCCTCCGATTTCAGCTGCTGCAATGTCTCTTATGCAGGATTTGGGGGAGGAGTCTTTTCCGGTGATACTGATTGGCCTGGCCCAGGAGGTACATGGTCATAGTGAAGATGGCAGTAGATGGGCTGTGGCCCCTGCCGTGTCGGCCAGACTTGCTGTTTCAAGATCCTATATTACGCCCAGCTTTACGGTTGCTAAATTTTACGGCATGGCTATTGAAACCCAGACCCTAAAGGATAGGGGAGTATTGGATTCTGTCATCCCCATCATGTTGGGTGCTAGAAAGGTAGTCTCTAGGAACATTTATTACAGAACTTGGAAGGCTTACATTTCCTGGTGTGAGGTCTGGAAATGGCACCCAAGAAAGTATGTGATTGGTAGGGTCCTGTAATTTCTTCAAACAGGGTTGAAGAAGAAATCGGCTGTTGGTACCATTAGCTGTTTTTTTTTTCCAGAGGCCTATTGTGTCTCTTTGGTTTGCACTTTTTTACAGGCAGTAATGCCTATTGCTCCTCCTTTCAGGTTACCTTTGTGTTATTGGAACCTGAACTTGGTTTTGGAGGTTTTGCAAAAAACACAATTGGAACCTATTAGGGAGATTCCACTGGTCCTGTTGACTCATTAGGTTTTATTTCTAGTGGCAGTCACTTCTGCAAGAAGGATGTCTTTCTTGCAGAGAACCATTTCTGGTTTTGCATCATGATAAGGTGGTGTTGTGACCTCAACCAACCTTTTTACCAAAAGTGGTTTCTAGTTTTCATCTCAATCAAGACATCATTCTGCCTTCATTCTTTCTTAGGCCCCAGTCAGCAAGAGAAAAGATCTCTGCATTCCTTTGATGTGGTACACGCTGTAAGGTCCTTCTTGACGGTAGGGCACAGGTCAGGAGGTCAGATGCTCTGTTCTTGCTGCCAGAGGGGCCTAGCAAGGGGCAGGTGGCATCCAAGGTGCCTATTTCACAATGGATCCGCCAATTGATCATTCAAGCCTATGGTTTGAAAGGTAATGTCCCACCCTTTCGGGTGAAGGCACACTCTTATCAGAAGTGTGGGGGCATCTTGGGTAATCCGGCGTCAGTGGCTCGGGTTTGCAAGCACTCTACATGTTTCACACATTCATAAGGTTCTACTAGGTGGATGTCAGAGACGCAGAGGATTCTGCTTTTGGCCACAGTGTTTTTTTTGGGACAGCTGGGTAGGTCCTGAGGGATTGACTGTGGGCTATCATGGTGTCACCCTCCCCTCAAACTTCTTTATTGCTTTGGGACATTCCACATAGTCATTAATAGCCTACTTTGTGTCCCATTGTGTGCGATAAAAAAAAAACTGGATTTTTTTTTCTACATACTTACCTGTAAAATCCATTTCTTGGAGTACATCACAACACACAGAGGTCCCTCCACCTCTTTCTGGAATTGCATTGCTTGCTACAAAAACTGATGTACTTCCCATGTAGGAGGGGTTATATAGGGGAGGACTTCCTCTCTGTTTGGCCAGCCAGTATCCATTCACCAATAGGTGGCATATAACCCACATGGTCATGAATAGCCTGCTCTGTGTCCCGTGATGTACTCCAAGAAATGGATTTTACAGGTAAGTATGTAGAAAAAATACAGTATCTGTCTGGGCAAATAAAAATAAATTAACTATGTTACCAGAAAGGGGGCAGGGTACAAACAAGCATTCAAGGCATCGAACATATAATAATTTATATGACAAAGCTCTCCAGGCTGCGGTCATCCCTGCTGCTTGTGCACCTTATTCTTCCACACCTTTCCCTGCCACATACCTTTCTATTAATGTGCTTTGATACAGGATTTTGGGACCATCCAACTTCTTTTGCAATTACCTTTTGAGGCCTTCTCTCCTTATGGAGGGTGTCAATGATGGTTTTCTGCACAACTGTCAGGTCAGCAGTCTCATGATTGTGATTCCTACTGAACCAGACTGAGAGACCATTTAAAGGCTCAGGAACCCTTTGCAGGTGTTATGGCTTAATTAGTTGATTAGAGTGGGACAATTTGAGCCTAAAATATTGCACCTTTTCACAATATTCTAATTTTCTGAGATTGTGGATTTGGGATTTTCATGAGCTGTAAGCCATAATCATCACAATTATGACAAATCACGGCTTGAACTGTCTTGCTTTGCATGTAATGAGTCTATCTCATATATTAGTTTCACCTTTTAAGTTGCATTACTGAAATAAATGAACTTTTGCACGATATTCTAATTTTTCGCATTTCACCTGTATAATAACCATGTAAAAAAAAAATTTGTGCTGTTTATAGGGCCTCCAAATGTTCATAGCCATGTATCACACAGATATACAGCTATGGTCATACATCTTAAAAAATACAGCAGTCATGTGGTATCTAAACATTCTCCTAAAATATATCAGTTTTGTCTTTTCAGATTCAAATGTTTTTTTTTTTTTTTCTTTATTGCTCTCTGTTTCAGGCAACCACAATGGTTCAGGTGACAAATTCCAATGCTCATGCTACTAGTCCTCTTATTGTTGCTGGTTACGATGTTTCTGGTTCAGTTCGTAGTGATGGGGAGCCAATGAAAGGGGTCATGTTTCTACTGTTTTCGTCAACCATCAAAAAAGAGGTATGGCGGCAAAGTAAATGTCTATGCTTAGAACATAATTAGGTCTACTCATGCTGCTGGTGGTAAGAATACCACTGACAACTGGATTTTCTCAGCTGGTTATGCAGCAATGGACAGCATGGAGGCAAGTGCACATTTCTCTTAAGTCTAAGAACCCTGTAGATTACACCTTCCTGGGGTTCTTTAAGTTAAACTTGGCTCTTTTTTTTTTACATACAGATAACTTTTTCTATTTCTTTTGAAAATGAAATATCTAGCATTCTTTTTCTTGTCAGCATGGAAGAGTCAGATAATAAATTAGGTAAACAGTTATAGCTAGTAGCAGATGGTCATCTGGACTTGTTCTGTAAATTCAAAAATGTTTTGCAGTTTATCCAAGCAGCTTCTTCATATCTAATGCTATTTGCGAATAGCTACAGTACCTTGAAAAGGTATTCATACCCCTTGAAATTTTCCACATTTTGTCATGTTACAACCAAAAACGTAAATGTATTTTATTGGAATTTTATGTGACAAACCAACACAAAATGGCACATAATTGTGAAGTGGAAGGAAAATGATAAATGGTTTTCAAAATTTCAACCCGAATTTCGCACATCTAGAGTAAAATTTTTGCCCTTTCTTTTTTGCAAAATAGCTCAAACTCTGTCAGATTGGATGGAGAGCGTCTGTGAACAGCAATTTTCAAGTCTTGCCACAGATTCTCAATTGGATTTAGGTCTGGACTTTGACTGGGCCATTCTAACACATGAATATGCTTTGATCTAAACCATTCCATTGTAGCTCTGGCTGTATGTTTAAGGTTGTTGTCCAGCTGGAAGGTGAACCTCTGTCCCAGTCTCAAATCTTTTGCAGACTTGAACAGGTTTTTCTTCTAAGATTGCCTTCTACGATTGCCCTGTATTTGGCTCCATCCATTTTCCCATCAACTCTGACCAGTTTCTCTGTCCCTGCTGAAGAAAAGCATCACCACAACATGATGCTGCCATCACGTTTCACGGTGGGGATGGTGTGTTCAGGGTGATGTGCAGTGTTAGTTTTCCATCACACATAACGTTTTGTATTTAGGCCAAAAAGTTCAATTTTGGTCTCATCTGACAGCACCATCTTCCACATGTTTGCTGTGTCACCCACATGACTTCTCTCAAACTGGAAAGGGGACCTCTTATGACTTTCTTTCAACAATGTCTTTCTTCTTGCCACTCTTCCATAAAGGCCAGATTTGTGGAGGGCACAACTAATCGTTGCCCTGTGGACAGATTCTCCCACCTGAGCTGTGGATCTCTGCAGCTCCTCCAGAGTTATCATGGGCCTCTTGGCTGGTTCTCTGATTAATGCTCTCCTTGCCCAGCCTGTCAGTTTAGGTGGACAGCCATGTCTTGGTAGGATTTGCGGTTGTGCCATACTCTTTCCATTTTCGGATGATGGATTGAACAGTGCTCAATGAGATGTTCAAAGTTTGGGATATTCTTTTTATAACCTAACCCTGCTTTACACTTCTTCACAATTTTATCCCTGACCTGTCTGGTATGTTCCTTGGCCTTCACGATGGTGTTTTGTTCACTAATGTTCTCTTACAAACCTGAGGGTTTCACAGAACAGCTGTACAATAGTAATTAGTTGACTTCTGAAGGCAATTGGTTCCACTAGATCTTAGTCAGGCGTATCAGAGTAAAGGGGACTGAATACAAATGCACGCCACACTTTTCAGATATTTATTTGTAAAAGAGGTTGAAAACCATTTATCATTTTCCTTCCACTTCACAATTATGTACCACTTTGTGTTGGTCTATCAAAGAAAATTCCAATAAAATACATTTACGTCTTTGGTTGTTACATGACAAAATGTGGAAAATGTCAAGGGTTATGAATACTTTTTCAAGGTGCTGTAATTAGTTTAGCTACACTTTTTTTTTTTTTTTTTTTTTTTTAATAAATATATACAATTGCTGGTTTTGCTAACATAATTTTTGATATTTTAGGATATTTTGGGCTGCAATCTGGTACCAATTGAGAGCTTTCAGGGCAAAGATATGCTGGTATCTTATCTGTGTCATGTCACATCTAAGGATGATGGATCCTTTACATTCCTGTCACTACCAAGTGGGGATTACAGTGTGGTAAGTATACGTAATTTTTCCTGTTTGATGAACCATCCGCATATTAGCTCAGGTGTCCCTTTTATTCTCTCCTTAGCTGGATCTTACCATGGCAAGCTTTCGTGTTTTCACTTGTTAATAAGGGATATTCGTTATTACAGTAATCCTGTCTCCGTTTTTCTGCAATGTTTTATTGGGGTGGTCAGCATATACCTGGAGTGTGTGTTTTATCCCTTTGCACAGGAAGGCAGAGTTTAGTTTTAGCTTGGTGTCCTAGAAGGTAGAACATCTTCATTTTGGTTCCAGAAAGAAGATGGTTGACCTTTCACTGGCTGGTTCTCTGTAGTGTCAGTTTGGGCTCCCAGACCAATTTTCATATGCCACAGTTAAAGGATTAGCTGGGGAATAGAACTTCTCTTTGGCATCCAGTTCTCCTGGGCGTGCCCTATCCTCTTCTAACAAAAGTTCAATGTGTGGTCCCCTATTGCTAGCAGGGTCAAAGGGTTAATGACTACCAGCAGTACCTGCAGAGTTTGCCAAATTTGGCTTGATGTCCTTAGGATGTAGGACATTTCTTTCAAACTCTGGATGAACTTCAAGTAGAATTATAGGTGCACCAAAAAAAAAATCTTACACAACAGCTCCAGATAATGGTTGTTATAGGTCTTTTTGCTTATTTAATAAGTATTACATAGTCCTAGATTTAACATTTTCATGTTATGTCACAAGACTGTGTGTGTTTTTTTTTACTTCCTCTGTAGCAGTGATAATGCTGCTGCCTCCTTGAATCCCTGTTGCCACATTTTGCGTTTGTCGTGCCACCTTGGACTGCAGTGTGATACAATGCAGTCATATGTTTCGGCCTCCAGAGGTATGCACATGAATCACTTTGTATTCAGTGCCACACAGACCCATCTAATACTGCTGATACTGATACTGCCCACCCCAGGGCTGCCAGGTAACCTACCACAAATAACTGCTTACTTTAGTGGAAAAATGGTAGGAATGTTTGGCGGTGCAGTTTTAAGTCCCTTCCAGCACTTCCTGGGAGCACAGGAAAGCACTGGATAACCCCATCCTCCTTCCGTCTTAGCTGGCTGATGCTCTGATGGTACATGGGAAGTCTTGTAGTGCAAAAACCAACAAGGTGAGCAAGATTTACATTATTACATTGATTTCTACTGCAAAATGCTGAGCTGGTAAATGATGACATTAGAGACCATAGTTGTACTTTTCACTATCCTGCATGATCGTTCATAATTGGAGGCTTACAATTTCATACCGCACCCCAGATCCTTGAGCTTCATCCCAGCAGTTGATGCATAGCCTGATGTTATACTGGATCTCCAGATCTGGATATTCACTTTAGCAGGTGCTCTCTAGGTGCACAGTAGCCATCTTTTAGCTCAGTTTAATGTGGAACTCCCAGGATCAGAGATTTACTGAAGCTTTTAGGGAATTTTCACACTACTATTCACTTTGTAAAGCTGGTGCGAACGGGCCCAAACTTCTCTACATATGGTGATTATGCTGTAGAATGAAATCCTTCTGTGTTCAACCAGGGCAAAGGATGGGCAGGTTATTTTTTTTATTTATACCTAAATAATCTTTTATTGGGATTGGAAAAGCTTTCTCCCCTTTTACCTACAGTAATACCGCCTGTTCACTGTTCTCACCATTTTCCTTCCCTTGGAACCATTTGTCTGTTTACTGGAAGGAATATTACCTGTCTTGCTCCATTCCAGTGCCAGCAGGTTGCGGGACATCTTCAAAGCATCTGATGATCAGACTGTGGGACATGCTGGCCGCATCTTCCAGCATGTCTTTCCGGAGGGGCGGAGCCTGAACATGGCGGCGCAGGAGAGCACGTTGTGAGTGCTCTCCGGCAACCTCCATAGTAGCCACCCCGAGAACCCTCATGGCACGGTGTGTGGAGCCCTACCTGTGTTAGGAGGTCCTTGGGCGGGAGATGCTGGCGCTTTGAGAGGGGCAGGAGTGGAAGCGGGCACCGAGCTCCAGAAGACGATCCCCCAACGATCTGATAAACAGCAGTGGGGTTGCTGGGGTGACGGAGCGACGCGCCGAGACCATGTGGTCAGCCGCTAAGGAGCACTGGGAAGGGGAGAAGCTCTCCGGCGTCCAGAGAGGAGAGGGAGATGCCGGTCTAATCCGTAACCCGTCGTTCAGCAGAGGCAGCGGTCGGACATCTATCTGCAGAGGACCACAAGAGACCGTGAAGGAATCTCCCTGGGACACATTCCGGGAGACAGAAGCGGACAGCTGTAGACTGGGGCCAGCTCACAGGAGAATCTAATGAAGAAGGTTGAGTGAAGACGGCCCAGGTTAACAGTAAACCTTAAATGTATAGTGTCTTGGACTGTGGGATGTGTGATTTAAAAAGCCTGTAAAAGAGAGCAGCAGGGGGATTTAAGAGTGTGGAAGAAGATACGAGGTTTTAGTGGCTCTAGAAGAGAAGAGGAAAAGAAGTGTTAACTGATAAAAAACACACCAATACTGGCACCCTGATATATATCCTAAAGTCTCCCTCTGGGTTGGTTAAAGAGAATAAGCTACACAGAAGATATGAAGAATAAAAGCGCTAAAGGAAGCGGGCTTAAAGGGTCCCAGACGGGTACGATTAAAAAATATATACGTCCCAGGGCAATGCGACTCCAGAAAGGTCCTAAGGTGGAAGTGAAAAAGGGGAAATGGAAACTAGCCTGGAAAATAGCCCTAGATTATCGTTGGGCCTGAACAGTAGTAGCCAACAAATGTCAGAAAATATAGAGAGGAAGGACTTGGAAAATGATTTACAAGTACCGAATGAAAGAGAAATGGCAGAAATGTTTAAAAACCTGGAAAAAGCCTTAAAGCAAGAAATGACAACCATACGATAGGATTTGGGGCATTTGTTACTGAGAAGGTAAGAAACGGAGGGAAAAGTTAAAAACCATACCCAAAACATCTCAGATTTAGAAAAAAAGACTACTACAATTGGGAACACTCAGAAAAAAATTGATGGAAGTACAAGAAAACAGGGATAGGAGAAGCAACCTTAGGATACGAGGAATCCCAGAAATCTTTAAAGGAGAACTGCGAGAAACAGTTTGTAAAATTTTTAACTCCATTATGGACAGACCTGAAACCGAGTTAGTCAAATTGGATGGAGTCTATAAAACAGGAAAGTTTCATCAAGGAAATGAGAAGGAAAAACCAAGAGATACAATTGCTCAATTGCACAAGTATGGGGATAAGGAAGAGATTTGGAGAAGGATCAAAGGAAAAACAATCATTAAGTATGGAGAAATAAACATTCAGATTTTTTGCGGACTTATCGCCTGAGACTTTGTGGAGAAGGAGATCTTTGAAACCCCTGCTAGAGCAGATGAGAGAACGGAATGTACTCTATAGATGGGGCAACCCAGCGTGTTTAATCGGATGAAAGAATGGTGTTACAGCTTATTTGAGATTTCACGAGGATTTGAGAGACTTCTGTGATTGACTGGAATTACATAGAACAGTAATTATTGGGTGGGAAGAAGAGGGAGAAATAGGTGTCAGGGGAAAGGAGGATTGTCAGATTGTTAGAACGGGGAAGTAAGGAGGAGTAGAGGGGTGTTTTGGTTCTTTTTTGGTTTTTTTTTTTTTTTTTTTTTTATTCTCTCTCTCTCCCCTCTCTACTTCTTCCTCCCTATGACATTTCCTTGGGGATCCGTTTTTTTCTTTCTTTTTTTACGCACCGTGAAAATTAAAGATAATAGAAATAAACAGAGGGAGGGTAATTGGGGAGGTTAGAAGGAGGGAGTGCCATTCATGGGCGGAGTTTAGCCCTAAGGTTTAAATCAATGGTGGGAATAGACCCACAAACGATTAATAGGCAAGTTAGAGGCCTAAAAATGGGTTGGGTAGCAAAGGGGTGAGGGGGGGGGAGTGGGAAGGGAAAGGAGTAACATGGGAGGGAATAGGGAGGGGGTATTTAAAGTTAACACTCTGTACAAGGAAGGGAAGCACAAAGGAATTGAGGGTGGAAAAGAGGAGATTGAGGGGAAAAAAAAAAGATACAAGAGGTATGGAAGGTTTATAACATATAATGTAAATGGATTGAATTGTCCTGGGAAAAGATTTAAGCTATTCAAGGAGTTGCAACATAGAGTAGCTTCTGTGGTTTTTCTGCAGGAGACACATTTTGAGATTGAGTCAACTATTAAGTTGAACTCTAGAAATTATCCAATATGGTATTACACAGAATCCCCAATTAAGAGAGCAAAGGGAATAGCAATAGGGCTTGCAAAAAACATAAGGTTTGTGCTAGAGGAGAGAGAAATAGATCCTGAGGGGAGATTTTTTGTTTTTGAAGGGTAGATTACAGGAAATTGAATGCACAATTGCAATATTTATTGCCCAAATAAGAGACCGGAGATATATTTGAAAGGTGTTTTGAGAAAATTGATGGCCTTCAAAAAGGGGCGCTTGATAGTGGCAGGGGACTTAAATTTTTGTATGGATCCACAAATGGATACAACCTCTTCTGCGCAGCGAGAGGGAGGTAGATCTCTGAGAATTTTGAAGAAGGTGATGCATGAGTGTCAACTGGTGGATATTTGTTGAATAATACATGGAAAAGAGAGAGACTATACCTTCTTCTCTAATGCACACGAGATGTACTCGAGATTGGACTATATATTGGTTGATCAACTTATTGAGATGGTGGCTAAAGTAGAAATAGGAGCAATATCTCTCTCAGACCATGCCCCTGTTACATTGAAATTAGGGTGTGGGAGGCGGTTGACAGGTGGTACAGGATGGAAGTTGAATGAGGCTCTTCTTCTGGATCAGGAGATTGATCAGAAGATTAGGCAAGAGATTGAAAGATTCTTTCAGGAGAATGAAACGGGAAGTGTCGGTAGCTACAGTATGGGAGTCCCACAAGGCCTACATAAGAGGTATATTGATTGCGTCCGGGGCAAAAAAGAAAAGGGAAAGAAGAGAGAAACTTACTGGGCTGTTAAAGGAAATATTTGACCTACAGCAGATACATAAAAATAGAATAACAAAAGAGATAAGACAGAAGGTAACAAAAAAGAAAGAAGAACTAGAGATACTGATGGAAGGAGAGGAGAAGAGAGTCTTTAATAAAGTGGCAAGCGAGAGGTATAGATGGGGAGACAGACCAGGAAAATATTTAATGAGAGCCTTAAGGAAAAAGAAAAACAGGAATTATATAGAAAAAATAAGAAACCCCAAGGGAAAAACTGTTTATTTACTAAAGAGATCGCTAAGGTCTTTAAGGAATATTATAGCAAGCTGTATAATACTACCTCCCAGGACTCCGTAAATAAAAGTGGAAATGCGAGCATAGAAAAAAGAAGGGTATATCTAAAAAACTGCAGGACTATCGAAATTAAGTGATCAACTGAATTCCCTTGATTTAGAAATTACGCAGGAGGAAATAAAATAGCATTAAAAAGTACCACGACGGGGAAAAGCCCAGGCCCAGATGGTTATACTGTGAGGTATTATAAAAAATACAGTGAATTGTTAGTACCTAAATTGAAGAAATATATGAACGCGCTGGGTGGGGGAGATGGAATGAGAGAGTGGATAGGAAAGTTGTATAGAGAGCCCTCCGCGTTATTTTGGTTAACGGAGAGAGGTCGGAACCTATTGGGATGTCAAATGAACGAGACAGGTATGCCCACTGTCCCCATTGTATGTATTGTCTTTGGAACCCTTACTGTCAACAATTAGGAAAAATATGGACATAAAGGGAATACAGATAGGAGGAATTGAACATAAAGTGGCTGCCTTTGCGGACGATTTGTTGTTCTATGTGGGAAACCCTAGGATAACACTCCCAAATTTAATGAAGAGCTTAAAGGATTATGGGGAGCTATCAAATTTTGAAAATCAACCCAACAAAAACTGAGATTTTAAATGTAAATCTTCCAAATAGTGAAAAAGAAAAGATACAAAAAGAATTCCCTTTTATATGGAAAGATAGAGAGATAAAATATTTAGGGGTGAAACTCACTGCTTCATATACAAACTTGTATAAATTAAAGTATCTCATTCTTAAATGAGATTAAGGAGGAACTAAAGAAATTGGGAGGTGGTAACCCGTCTTGGATAGGTTGCATAAATCTGATAAAAATGGTAATTGTACCTAAAATCCTATATAAATTTCAGATGATTCCAATTAAACTTCCGGAGGTTTTTTTTAAAGTAATTAAAAAGGTGTTAACAAGATATATATGGAAGAATAAATAAAAAATCTAGAATATCTTATGATTTGCTGAGTAGAAATAAAGAGAAGTGTGGATTGGGAGTGCCAGATTTCAAGAGGTATTATAGAGCAGTAGTTCTAGCAAGAATTTACGACTGGACACACAATCCAGAGGGGAAAAGTTGGGTCAAAATTGAAAATGAACTAAGCGGAGTTAATTTGAGTAAAACCATATGGGTACCAGCACAATATAGAGGATTAAAAGATACCAAAAGTGTTTATACATTAAATGTTTTACGAGTTTGGGATAGACTGCACAAGCTTATGAAGTGGGATTTTAATTCACAATTAATGTCACTGAGGAACACGGAGTATTTCCCTCCAGGAAGGGAGGAGAATACAGGATAATGGTTTAAAAAGGAGGACATTCAATTGAGAGATATTATGGAAGGGCAGGAATTGAGAACACTTAAGGACTTGAAAAAGGACAAAAGGGAACTTTTCATTAAGATAGATGAGTGGAGATATCACAAATTAAAACACTTTGTCGGGAGTCTTTCGAAATCTTTGAGATTGAGAAAGGATTGGAATTTGTTTGAGAGGTTGTTGGAATCACGTGGAGATGGGAAACTGGGCACGGCAAAAATCTATAAGATTCTCACTGAATTAGACACACACACAAAGCCAATGTACATAGCAAATTGGGAAAGGGATTTGGGGATGGAGATAGATGAGGACAAACAGAGGAAGATATATAGAGTAATGCACGAGAACGTAAGCATGAGAGAGGTGGAGGTAAACTATAAATGTTTAATTAAGATGGCACATTACACCGAATATTGAACACAAGATGAGTGGAGAGAATTCACCAGAGTGTTGGCGGGGGTGTGGAAAGATAGGCACGTTATATCATATATGGTGGGAATGCCCAAAAATTCAAGGTTTTTGGAAGACAATAGTTCACTTAATTGGGATAATTACTGAGATAAAGATGGGATTGTATCCAGAGATGTGTCTATTACATAGTACAGAACTATCAGTGAACAAATGTAAGGATTCGGGTATATGGTATTATTTAAATGCAGCAAAGGGTCTGATACCTAGGTTTTGGTATAGTTCAGAGGTGCCGAGTGAGGACTGGGTGGAAAGAGTGAATCAGATATGTAGGATGGAGAAACTGTATTATATGCAAGAAGACAAGATGGGGTTATATTATATGAGGTGGGGAAAATGGGAAGATTTTGTGCCCAAGGTGAAATACATTAAGCAGTAGAGTGGGATATGTGAAAGTGCCCCTTGCTAGGGAGAGATATAGTGGAGAAATGCAGAGTGGGTGGTTTTTGGGGGGTAGGATGGAGGGTGGGTGGGGATTTAGATAGGTGGGGGGGGGGGGGGTTTTGGCAATAGTGACAGAAAGGGATATAATTGAGGGTTTTGTATGTTATATGAGAGCAATGATGGAACATGTATTTTATATGGAAAATGAATAAATATTTAAATTAAAAAAAGACTGTGGGACATGATTATGGAAATGGAACTTTTATGCTAAACCGCTTGATAAAATATGATGCTCTTTAGCAAGGAACATATATTCCACTTTAATAATTATGGTACCAAAATAAGCATGTGTGGTACATTGCTTTCAGCATTGCTCCTACGTCTTTTTGCTGAAGGCTGCCATTTTGTTGAAGCCCGGTTCAGTCAATTACTTACTGAGAACTTTCCCCCTCTTTTTAAGCTGGCAATACATGGATTGATATTCGGGTGGTTCAGCAGGGACCGGCCAAATTTTGATCCATGTATGGGCACCCTGAATGTACAGAAATCGATTTGCTGCCTGTCGAGCCTGTCAAGTTTTTCCTGATCGATCAGTGCTGTCAACTAGAGCCTTCAGGACTGATCATTGTATTCTGATGGCAGGGAAGGCTCCCTGCTGTCAGAATACAATATCACAGTGGGAGTGATTTCCCCATCTATGACTCTATGGACTGCCTTAAGCAGGCCATAGATTATGCAATTTTCATTCCTTTCACCATCGGTGAAATGGAAAGAAAATTGCTTGATTCTCCGATCAATACAATCCATGTTGATGGGGGTATCCCTCCTGCAAAACTATTGTGTACTGCCGGTGAGGAGCGCAGGAAGCCTTCCTTGCTTGCAGAATACAATAATTAGTGTTGCTAGCTATAGCCTGCAGCACTTATCGATCAGGGAAAAACCCGACAAGCTGGTCACAACCAGCTTGTTGGGTTTTTCCCGTGATCGATAAGTGCTTCTGGCTATAGCTATGTGCACAAATTTATTGATTGGCTTTTGTACAAACAGGGTGCCCATACATAGATTGAAATTCGGCTGGTCAATTCTGAACTGGCCACATTTTGATGCTTGTATGGCCAGCTTTAGCTCAAAAACTTTCACTCTCCGTAATTAAAATGTGTGCATCTCCAAACTTTTTTGTATGTCTTAGCTTACTTAGAGGGGAAGGCTGCAGTAGCTGACAGTGCTCAGATTCACAGCTGCTGATGCTGATAGCAAGGGGAAAGGAGAGAATATCTGGGAAATAAGACAAGACACTATCCTTGTATGTTTAACTCTTGTCCCTCCTTGGCACCAGAATTTGCCCTGTCACCTCTCCTGCTTTTTTTTTCTCCCTTCCTAATCTTTCCTTCATTGGCACTGTCTGTGTTATTCCTTCTGCTTCCTCCCCTCTCTGCTGCAGTAAATCATTAGGCTGTCAGCAGATTGGCACCTAGCGATTCATCAGTAAAGTGCTGAGAATAAGAGCAACTGAGGCTGTGCCGAGCACTTTATAGGCACCTATTTTAAATGTTTAACATAGCTATACCTGCAAAAGGGGACTGACTGAAGTAATCTATCAGGACTTAATTTTCTGACTAAAGTTCCACTTTAAAGAACGAATTGCATTTAGGGGCAGATTGCATAGGGAATGCGTGACAGTACAGAAATGTAAATATGTTGACAGTGACTTTTATTAGTTTGAAAAGAGGATTTTTTTTTTAATTACACGTTTTGAGATTCATGTTCAGTGACCTAGGCAAGCAAAAATTATTTGGTGTATGTTATGAAATGAAACATTCCTATATTCTGCAGATCCCATTTTACAGAGGGGAGAGAATTACATTTGATGTTGCTCCATCCAGACTGGATTTCATTGTGGAACACGACAGCCTCAGATTAGAGGTAAAGTAATAACAGTTAGGAAATTTAATAATTTTAGTACATTTTAGTGAAGAGCAGATCATTTTAAAGACCAACTGAATCAGTAAGCTGCAAACATTTTTTGATTGTCCTGCATTGCTTATTAAACATTGTTTAATTTAAATACAATTATGTTTATCCACTGGTTGATTAGGATAATGTTTTTTTCCTTTACCATTCCAGCCTGTCTTTCATGTAATGGGTTTCTCTGTTACTGGTCGAGTTTTAAATGGACCAGAAGGTGAAGGAGTGGCAGATGCAGTTGTCACACTGAACAACCAGATGAAAGGTAGGCCTGGAAAATCCTCAGGATTTTCTGCATGAAAAAAAGTGAGTGAGTTATCCCATATGCTTATTTGTGTTCAAATTTTTGCCTTTTGTTTTTTTAAAAGGCAAAATTTTGAGTGGCCCTTTCTAGATATGTGGGGCACCTAGGACCTAAAATTTAGCCATCTATCATTCACTGGGTTATGCTAAAACTGTCGCCAAACTTTTAAGTAGTTGTAAAACTCAGACATGAAGTAAATTGACAACAGCGCTCTGTTCTTGTGGGGTGGGGAGTGTCTGTTCCCTCCAATCAGCTCTCGGAGCTCTTCTCACTGTGCAGTGTGTGTGTTTTCAGCTCTCTGCACCCTTTTTTTTTATTTTTTATAAACTGACATAAATTCTGCACTTTGAATGGATGTAGAGAAGAATATACTGCAGATAAACGGGTTCAGCTTATGTAGGAGGATTTGTTTCAACTGTGTATCATCTGAGGCCAGTCACTTTACTGGGTATAGGCAAGGGTTTACAACCACTTTTAAAGTATCTTGCAGCAGAATTTACTTTTTAAGGAGAGCATATCACTGCTAATTCCTGGTACAGCTGATTTACAAATAGAAAACAAAAATTTGTAAAGTAGTGTAATCACCGAGAATCCTGGCTGGCCTTACCTGTATATCATTTTTACTGATAATATTGTAGATCTCTAGTAAATGCTGATTCTTTTTTTATTCAAGCCTGGTTAGTTATGACATACTGTACATTGATTAGTAATTAAAAACAATTAACATTTTTTATTTTTAACAGTTACAACCAATGCTGACGGATCCTTCCGTTTGGAAAACATGACTGCAGGAACATATAGTATTGACGCAAAGAAAGAACATGTCTTCTTTGACACGCTCACTGTGAAGATTGCTCCAAACACTCCGCAGTTGGCAGATATTATAGCATCTAGGTAAGATGACATGCTTAAAATGGAGTTGCACTCAAAAGTGGAAGCTCCACTTATTTGCTTCCTCCCCTCCTCCACTGCCATATTTGGCACCCTTTGGGGGGGGGGGGGGGGAGGGATCGGGTACCTGATTTTGACAGGTACCTGTTCCCACTTCCGGCTCAGTTCGCCATGGCGAAGTGAGCCGGAAGTTCGGCCCTCACCTCCCTCCCGCAGTCTCCTGGGAACTTTCACAGGTCCCAGGAGACTGCCGGACCAAATAGAAATCGCAGCGCAACTCGCACCAGGCTGTGAAGCTGTCACAGCCTGGTGCCCACAGTTGAGATGCTGGCGCTGTGGAGGAATGAAAGGGAGAAGGGACCGCGTGGGTGAAAACATTGCTGGATTCCGGGACAGGTAAGTATGTGTTTATTAAGTCAGCCACTACAGTTTTTGTAGCTACTGACTTTTACACAAAAATGGCTGGAACTCCACTTTAAGAACCTATTACCTACAGAAAACTGCACACCAAATATGTATATGAACAAACACTAAGTGTTACGATTTATGATGTAGCTGTACAGTCCTTCTGTCTTGGACCCAGGTCATCCCAAATCAAGGATGATTTTCAGATAAATATGTACAGTAGGGCTCGAAATTTCAAGTCCTGAGGTACTGGCCAGGACTTAAGAGTTACTTGCCACAAGTTGCCCCCAACCCCTACCCTGCCCTGCCCTTAATTCTGCCCCTAAACACGCACTCGTAAATTATCTCATGAAATAGAACTGAACTGTTTTATGCAAAATCAAGGAAGGAAGAAAGGAAATGGAAGGAGTGGTGGAAGGGAGGGGTAGGTGGAAGAAAGGAACGAAGGAAGGGCAAAGAAAAAAAAAAGGGAGTGGTGAAAGGTAGGGAGCGGTGGGTGGAAAGAAGAGAGGTCGGACTCGCATGACTCAGCCAGATGCATCTGAGCTGTCGGCTGCTCTGTGGTCATTTTCCCGCTCACACATCCTCTGAAGCTGCAGGAACTGGAGTGTGGGCGGGCACAGGGGGAGGAAGAGCAGATCCAGCCTCACGCCCCTCTTCTCCTATTGGTGTGGCGGATAGGGGGAGGGGCTGGGCACTGAGGAGCACACATCGGAGGGGGGTGCAGAAAACCGGGATGATCGGTACGGTGGTGGGGACAGTGACAAGCAGGAATCTCCTGTATGGCTTTCAATGAAGCCATACCGCTTCTCCTCCTCTCCCTCTCGCAGCTTTCAGCTGCTTCATTGAAAGCCATACAGGAGATTGCTGCTCGTCACTGCCCCCACCGCCACCCTTCCCACACGCCCCTAGTCCCACCACTGCTCAACCCCACCTTATTTCCACTTGCCTGATGCGAGCGGGCAAGTGGAAATTTTGAGGACGGGATTTATTATTTACCATTCAGCTTTCTCGTTTACCTTGTGTGAGGGCAAAAAACAATATTAAGTAACATAGGTTGAAAAAAGGCACAAGCATTGTGTTCTGCCAAAAGTTAACCTCCATAAACAGAACCTTTTATGCATGCCTGATCCAAAGAATGACAAAAAACTTTTATGTTTACAGATTTAGTGTGTGTGGAGATATCTCTATTACACACTTTCCAGAAGGTATGAAATCGATGAGTAAATATAAAGTTACTATGACTCCTCAAGACAACGAAAGAACTTCAGTTCTTACTACAGAGTCAGACACTCAAGGACGGTTCTGCTTTCAGGCAAGAAAAGGATCTTATAATATACAGGTAATAGAAATATTCAGATGTGTATATAAGGTAAAGATAAAATAAATATTCAGAACATGCAGTCAGTTGTGTTTTTTTTTTACTGATTGATGAAAATTAACTTTATAAAATAACTCTTGTGCTGTAATCAGGCATCCTGTATCCATCCCTAGCATGCTTATAGTGTGCAGCTGAGGCTACATACACTTCATACAGCATTGAGAGCAGCTGCATCTCTTAATGAAGCAGTTTGTTTGGACCAGCTTGATCCAAACAAACTATTTTTAAACTTCACTAAACACTAGAGATCAGCTTTATCTGCTTGCTGAATGCCAGGAGTACATTTACTGCTGGTGGTTAACTTCCCCAGGCACTGCAATGTACCTGTACTTTACAGGTACTCATGGGAACTGGTAGGTTCCCTGGGGCGCACAGTGGCATGATCCTGTGTACATTAGACACTGTGGATTATAGTGCTCAGTAGGAGTATCTTGTGATCGGAATGACCAATCAAAGCGATCTCTTGATAACATGTAAACAAAATGGTCATGAATGGCTTTCATTCATGACCGCTTGCTTACTGTTGTGATGCTGTCATTGGCCCACATGGTACCTGAGCGAATCACAGCACCCTGTTTCATGTGTGGAGCTGTGGGCCAGTCATAGCATTACAATCTTAAATAATGAGTCATGAATGAAAGCCATTCCTGGCAATTCAAATGATTGCTTTTACAGTGATCATAAATAAAAAAATCTCTGATCACCTCCTCCCCAGAGTAGTACAGTGTCACTATGGTTAATATGGTTGATTTTTTTTCCTTTTTACATACTGTCACCAGTCAGTATGCCTTATCACTGCCACACCATTCATATGATGATGCTGTACTGCACTGGTGACACTATGTAAAAAAAAAAAAAAAGTGGAAAAAAAAACAAATTTAAATTTTCCAAAACAATTGTTACAACAAAAATTTCAACTTCAAAAAACTTGCCATGCCTCTTACTAAATACCTTGGACTTTCTGCTTTCCAAAAAGGGGTCAGTTGGGGCGGTCTTTATACTGTCCTGGCATTTTAGGACCTCATAAATTGAGATGGGCATCAGGTTTGATCAATTTTCAAATACTTATACCATAGTTTGTAGACTCTAAAACTTTCACAAAGATTAAATATTATATGCTAATTTGAGTTCTTTTTCCCAAAGAAATGTAGCAGAGTACATTTTATCCTAAATTTATGAAGAAATGTTATTTGTTTGCAATTAATTGTAATTCATCTGATCACTCTGCACAACATTCTGGAGTATAAATAGTTTCTGCTAAAAAAAAAAAATCCCTCTTTGCAATGAAAATGAACTTAATCCCCAAAAAAACATTTACACTGCATTTCAGCCCTGCCACAAAAGGACCAGCTGACATCATGTCAGTGATTCTCTCGGTAACACAGATGTCAGTGTTGACGAGGACAAGGCTGGAGATCGCTCTGTCATGCTGACCGAGTTAGAAAAAAGCCGACCATACATAGGTTGAATTCCAAAAGAATTGCCTTTTGAAAATCTTTTCTAAGAATTTTTGTTCGAATTTTGCACCATTAGTGGGCCACAAAAATGGCAGATTTTCGTGTGACCATCAAATTTGAGTGATCGGGTATGTTGGAAATTTTTTTTAAAACTAACGAATTTCTGATCAGCGATGGGAGAATCGTGTGAGAAATGTAAATGAAAACAAAACGAACTGTGTCTGGAAAAGAAAATTCTTGGCCACGAAAATTCTTTTCTGTAGCAACATGTGAAATTGAAGGCTTGGTTGGTCAAATTTAGAAATCAATGGTGGCACCATTGATTTACAAAACATACGAAATTTCCGATTTTCTAAAGAAAATTTGAATTCGACCCATGTGTGGCCTGCATAACAGACTGGAAGTTTTTAAAAGGAGGGTGGTGCTTGAAATTATTGTTCTTCCTTTGTTAATCATGGTTACCTGCAAGGAAGCACATGCAGTCATCATTGCTTTGCACAAAAAGGGATTCAAGGCAAGGATGTTGCTGCTACTAAGATTGCACTTAAACCAACCATTTAGCAGATCATCAAGAACTTCAAGGAGAAAGGTTCAATTGTTGTGAAGACTTCAGGGCGCCCAAGAAAATCCAGCAAGCACCCTGTCCATCTCCTAAAGATGATTCAGCTATGGGATCAGGCACCACCAGTGCAGAACTTGCTCAGGAATGGCAGCAAGCAGGTGTGAGTGCATCTACACGCACAGTGAGGCAAAGACTTTTGGAGGATGGCCTGGTGTCAAAGGCCGCAAAGAAGCCACTTCTCTCCATGAAAAACATCAGGGGCACACTGATATTCTGCAAAGGTACAGGGATTGGACTGCTGAGGACTGGGGTAAAGACGTTTTCTCTGACTAATTCCCTTTCTGATTGTTTGGGGATCCAGAAAAAACCTTGTCCGGCGAAGAAAAGGTGAGCGCTACAATCAGTCCTGTGTCATGCCAACAGTAAAGCATCCTGAGACCATCCCTGTGTATGGTTGCTTCTCAGCCAAGGGAGTGGGCTCACTCACAATTTTGTCTTAAGATCACATCCATGAATAAAGAATGGTACAAAGACATCCTCCGAGAGCAACTTCTTCCAACCATCCAAGAACAGTTTGACGAACAATGCCTTTTCCAGCATAATGGAGCACCTTGTTATCAGGCAAAAGTGATAACTAAGTGGCTTGGGGAACAAAACATCAAAATTTTGGATCCATACCCAGGAAACTCCCTAGACCAATGAGAATTTGGTCAATCCTCAAGAGGCTGGTGAACAGAAAAAAAACTCACAAATTCTGACAAACTCCATGCAATGATTATGCAAGAATGAGCTGCCATCAGTCAGGATGTGGACCAGAAGTTGATTGACTGCATGCCAGGACGAATTGCAGAGGACTCGAAGAAGGGTCAACACTGCAAATATCGACTTTTTGCATAAACTAAATGTAGTTGGCAATAAAAAGACTTTGACACTTATGAAATGCTTGTAAATATACTTCAGTATACCATCTGACAAAAAGATCTAAAAACACTGAAGCAGCAGACTTTGTGAAAATTAATATTTGTGTCATTCTCAAAATCTTTGGCCAGGGCTGTATGTCCTGATAACTGTCCTTTGGTTAAGTTGGTGGTTGTAACCAATGTCCTCGCTAATGTGGGCAATCGTTTACAGCTTCATATGCCCTTGGTCTGTCTTAGATTTTTTTGCTTTGAGAGCTCCTTGCTCTGTTGGACAATTCTGTAACCTCCACGTTTGTGCTCAGTCCCTTGGTTAGGTATTTGTTGGGAGACAGGTGTGTCAACGCCCTTGCTCCAGTCACACTTTTCAGTCGCCACTCCTAGGCTCACATGGCACCAAAAGATGGAGGAGGTGATTCCTACTTTAAGTGCAGCCTATGAATTTGAGAATGCCAGCCAGTGCACTTTCCCAATGTTGGGTCAACATGGATGCGAATGTAGAGTCACAGCATTTTGTGGTGGTTTATGTAAGGATATATTTTACTTATAAAGGGCGTGTCCCTTTCCCTTAGATGAAATATTACAGTGCCTCCAGCCGTTCAAATACGGCAAATATTTAGTAAACCAATAATTTGGACACCTTGATAATTCGATCACCACTTATTATTATACCTTGCATTCTTTTAGCCAATATGATTTCGTACCATACACACAAAATTTGCCTTATAATAGATAAATATAAAAATTTATTTATGTACAAAAATTATATATATATTAACACAAAACGCAAAAGACTGGTGATAAATGAATATTGGTACACACAATCAAAAATATACCCTACCAATGTAATACACAATAATAAGGTTTCTAACTAATTAAATCAATATCACAAATTTTTTTAATGATCTGCTTATTAATTAAATTTATTAATAATTAATAATTTCGAGTATCTCAAAGGTTATATTCTCACAAGCCGTGGCCATAGGATTGCAAGAAGCTATCCCTTGATATATTATACTCTGATTATTAATATTCAATAAATTATGAAATATGAAAAAAAAATTATAATATGGCACCAAACAATTTTTAACAGTAAAAACAGGATCTCTCTACATATATCTCGAACTACCCAATATTGTTGTGATACACTAAGGTAATTCTATGATTCCACACAACGGAGAAAATAGGTAATACAAAATCAAATAAACAATCTCACCGCACCCGGCATTCAGACTAGGCAACTCTCCCGTGGATTTAGCTGGCAGTGGAACGCCTTTAGACTGATGACCACAGGGGAAATTGAGATAGAGTTCAATAGTGTGGGAGAATGTAGGAAGTTATAAGGATAGAGGTTTAGAAATTTAGTAAAGTTTTAGGAAGTTTGAAAGTATGGAAGAGTAGTTATTCAGCAGAGATCTCTTCAGATGTCAGGGTCTTTTGATGAGGTCTTTTGATGAGTTTTTCTTTTGATGAGTTTTTTCTTTTTTCTTAAAGGTACAAGGGCTTTTATACCAACTAATCCATTGTTCTAAGATACCTTCCCACCAGGCTTCTTGATTGGCTAGTTGAGAAATGTGTGTACATAAGCTATTTCTCACCTGCCCGCCAGGTGGCGGTCATGTATCATAGAACAGTTTGAGTATTTGAGATGACTCATACCTCGGGTGGAATCTTAAGGTAATTTCAGGGATCAAATATACGTCTTTTTCCAGATATAAGTGATCATACCTATAATATTCTAAATAGGGACCATGGAATATAGGTGTATATTCAGTTATTCCTTCTTGAAATACCATCCTGTTTGTTTCCTGATAAGACATGTAACTAATGCTAGTTTATAATACATCTTACTTTCCATCATCTCAATACTCAAGTTAGTGATATATAGTTCCCATTGCTGAATATTTGGTGGTGTGTAAAACCTATCCTTTATAACATCTCATTTATAATATGTTTTTGTAGTATATCTTTGTAGTTATATACAGTCAATTTTTAGACTTAAATGTCCTGAATTTAACTTCTTTGTTTTAGAACCAACATTTTCTCTGTGTAGGGAAAAACTCTCTGTTTGCCTGGCTCTTGTATTGGAGTCACGGTAAACAACTCTTAATACTTTCACCCTTGGTGGACAATAGTATATTGTGATAGTTTCAGAGGTCTGTTGGTTTATCACACTCTGCAAGGTTTGAGTAAGCTCTCAGACAATCAGTTTGGTTCCTCTATTGTCATGTCCAGACCTTGTATATGTTTACCTGCTGTTGAAGTCTGGATAATGGTGTTTGACCACCTGTAGAACTTCAAAATAGTATATTGTCTCTGGGAGGAAAAAAAAAATCCCTTCACCCACCGTCTACACCTCTCCAGCCAGATGGTCATTCGACTTTCCAACCAAGACAAATTAACCCCTTAACATCCGGCTATATTGAGCTGCTTGTCATATAATATTATGTCTTGATAAAGTCATATTTTTGAGACATAATTCAAAAGGCCCACAACAATTTGTGAGGGAAGGCACCAACAACTACTTAGTGGTTTGTGTTCTTTTACCATTGTACTCCTTACTGTTTTAACTAGTGGTGTGGGTGCTTAGGCGTTGAGGTTATTAGTAATATACCTACTATGTGTTTGGGCTTTGCGCAATGACATGTTGATTCCTTTTTACTCTTAGTCTGTTGTTAGCAATAACAAGGCAGCATTGATAAACATTTCATGTTTCCCTTAGTCCTTTGTGCTTACAGTACGTCTTCAAGTTAAAGCTCCAGTCACTAAATAGACTTCTGTGATCCTGCAACATTAAACCGTCAAGTTCCTGGTGTAAATGAAAACAACAAATTTCCCTATTTTCCTTTTGGTTTGCTGAATGAGTTTTATTATATCTGACAAGGGAAAATAACATAGCTGTTCAATCATTCTGTACTCTCTACCTCTGGGTCGTTATCAGTTGAAATTGTTTCCAGCTTTCTCTAGATTACAAAACACTTCTGGAGAAAAGAGGGAAGTGTTATGTAGTCCTAATATGCTGCATGTCCTAGGGTGAGTGACAACACTGTTTATTAAGGTTGTTGCCCCAAGACATAAAGTGACTTAATGGCGGGATTATCAGGTTAAAATATAGGGGGGGAAAAAGTGTGAAAAACAAAATTTAAGGTAGCCACATCTAAGGACCAGTAAGCTATAACACTATAATTTAGATAATTTTAAACTTTTAAAGGATTCATCTTCTTGGCTGTTTATTAATCACTTAGATTCCTTGTTAGAAGAGATGTTTTCAACCAGCTTCACACACTATTTGGAGAATTTTGTCTGCCCTCTGCACCTGTCCCTTCTCACTATTCTGTGACATCTGTGAGGTCAAAACCCTTAGGTGCATGCTCCAGGTGTCCAAAGATGGGGGTCTACTCTTGTCAGATATGGGAATCCTTAAGGACCCCTTAGATGATTACTCTTTCTTCTTCAACTAGACATTCCCAGAGAACAGGTTCTGGAATCCCTACAATAATAATCAAAAAGGTGACATACATTTGAAGACATTTTCACAGAGTCTGTGTTAAAGTCAGAGCCAGTGTTTTATGAAATGCTTTTAATAGAGCAGTTTGGCTGTAAGCCTGGGCAACAGATCATACAACCAAATCCAGATTGTTTGCTGCTACTTCAGTGTTTTACATTAAAGTTATTGTAAACCCCTACCTATACCCAGTGAAGTGACTGGCCACAGGTGATACACAGAGATGCAACAAATCCTCCCACCCAAAAGGGGAAGTTCTGCTTTAAGCCTTTGTCCCCTGGTGAAACCAGCGGTGGCGAGGACACTGCGGGACTGAGGGACAGGTATGTGTATATTAAAAGTCAGCAGCTACAGTTTTTGTAGCTGCTGACTTTTATTTATTTATTTTTTTCAGGTGGAACTCTGCTTTAAGTTGTACCTATCTATCAGTAGGCTTCTCCTCTCTACAGTCATTCAAAGTGCTGAAATGAGTTCAGAAAAAAGGAGGAGGAGAGCTGAATGTGCACTCTTCAGAGCTCAGTAAGGAGAGCTGATTGAAGGGAAGAGACCCCCACCCCACAGCACACAGGAACAGAGCTGAGGTTGCTGGGGTCCCTCCCATCACCGTTTTTCTCTTGGCATCAGAAAAACTTATCTGAAGTGATTCATGCTTGTAACAGAGGAATAAGGCAGCAGACAGAAATGACACTTAGTGCTCCTAATAGAGCCAAGTACACACTATAGAGGGATATGCTTTGTTCATATTTCATGTTTGAGGTTTCTAACTACTTTTAACCATCAAAGAAGCTTCAGATCCCCATGGCAATGTGCCTGGTACTTCAGCATTGGTAGAATCACATCTCTTTTTCTTTGACTGCAGTTTATTTAAAGGGAACGCTGAACTCACTAGCTTATTACCTCAGCGGAAAGATTGAGCAAGACAAAATGAGACTTTTTTTTTTTTTTCCTTCAGATATCAAGCAGATTGGGTGGTAACTCAGGGAATGGTCCTTCAGAGAGAATACCAAATTACAAAAAAAATATTCACTTTAAGCTGCTGTATTACTCCTGAGTATATTCTTTTCTTATGTTCCGGTTGCTGGTCTTTTGGGTGCTAGAGAATTAAAAAAAAAGGGTAAAGAACATCTTTATTACAACCTTGTTGCCGTTACATTGAAGAAAAAGGGGCACTGTAACACAGTGGTTTCCATTTCTTCTTTTTTTTTTTTTTTTTTTTTTTTAACAGTAGTGAAGTTAGTTTTTTCAAGCTTACCAGTTTGCAAGACTTAAGCTGGCCATACACTAGTAGAATTTTGTTCCTAGTTTTTTTTTATTTAAAAACATTCTAATTTTCTAGAAGTTAGTGGGGTCAAATCAGCATTAGTTTCTTACCACAGTAATGATAAAATTCGAGCAGGATGGAAATTTTTTCTCAGATTTCTAACAGGGAATGTAGTTTATATTTCAGGAAATTACATTCATTCCAAAATGAAATGCTGAAAGCATCCTTTAATGTATTTTTGAACAGCATTTATCAAGCCATTGAATGTACTGATGAGAATTCTTGTACAAATGTTCTCATGAATATTTGTGCATTGCTTGTTAAAAAATCTACAATGTATGGCCAGTTTTATTCCACTTGTTTTCCAAGTGATAACTCTCCTTTGATCCACTGCTGCATCCACTTTGGGGTTTCTGCTAGATTATAGGCTGTAGGTACCCTTAAAGTACAAATAGTTGCCCTTTTAGTGTTTTTCAATTGTGGCTTGCAAAATTTCCTCTTCAGAGTTAGTCCCTCTCTAGGAAGCCACACCTGCCTTGCTAATGCTTTCTGCAATTGGATCTTTTGTTGGTACATTGATTGTTTTTAAAAGTGATTTTAGAAAACCCTAGACGGTTCCTGTGCTGAAATCTTATTGGTTACATTGATCCCAGCCATCTCTGTGAACCACAACCATCCCCTTATGTTATGGAGAGGAGGGTAGGTAGAATTCTGTAATGCTATATAATGTGACAACACTCCTGCTTCATAGCTAAAGTATAAGTATCATACAAAAAACAGAAAGTATGTTACTGGCAGGAGCATCAACTGAAAAATAGGGGGAAAAAAAGCCTGGGTAAAGAAAATGAATGCAGCCACCACATCCAAGAGCTGATGAGCTGTAATATATTACATTTGCAGGATGGTGATATGTGATAAAGCTTTTTTTTTTGTTTTTTTGCTTGTGTTTGCTATTATTGTCTGAAATTCATTGTCAGATTTAGGACACTGGCTTGACAGTTCCCAAAGATGATTTCCCAGCTTTTCTTTCATGCTGTCCTGGAAGATAATCATGAAAATAGTATCTTTGTTTCCAGGAATCTGCCGGGGTTAACTGCTATTTGTAATATTTTTTATTTGTTTGATTTAGAGTACTAGTTTATTACTAAGACAGTGCATCTTGATATATGCCTTTTTACTTGTAAGCTTTATGTTTCATATTTCAGGTGGGAGGTTCCACATACTGTCTTGGAAGATTTCAGGAAATTGAGTTACTGGATGACTAACTGTAAATTTGTAATTCCAGGTTTCCATTCCAGAAGTAGAATTAAAAGCTGGGCTTGCATTAAAGCCATCAATTTACCCAGTGACTGTAATGGATAAACAGATTATGGATATCTCCTTCTCGCAATTTATGGCTTCAGTTTCTGGCAAAGTGTCTTGTCTTGGTATGTGTTAAGGTATTTTCTTTGTATCAACAAGTGGTAAAGTAAAAAAAGACCGCATCTTTAGTTGGATTAAGTCAAGCAGGCCATAGATGATTCAGCGGCCTTAATATCTTCTGTCTACAAAATTAGTAGCTATTGTAAAACCCCCCATGCTTTCTTTGATTTTATTAGCCAGCTAAGTCATTTAGACATACTTGGATTACAATGGGAGCATTTACAAATATGTTAATTATGGAGCTAAAAATGTTGCTTGGGCAATGAATCTGAGCATGATTACCATTATCTGACCACTGCAGCAAGGTTTGGAGAAATGAAAGGAAAAGCTATACTTGGTCAAAATGAAGCTTTTCATTGCTATTCCTCTCTTGTGAAAATACTTGTATTCTGGCTGATTTGCTGATCCATTAGTTTAACTACTTCGAGTTGTTGCCCTGGAACCAGCATACTTCAACTTTCCTAATCTTCATACTTGCTCTGTTTCAGTGCCTTTTAAAGTTTATGTATAGACAATTTTTTTTTTCTTCCCATTTTAAAAAACTAAAATAATGCGGTTGCATAAGTGTGTACACCCTCTTATAATTGGGGATGTAGCTGTGTTCAGAATTAAGCAATCACATTCAAAATCATGTTAAATAGGAGTCAGAACAGGTACAGAAGAATTTCCAAGGCATTAGATACACCATGAAATACAGTGAAGACAGTCATCAAGTGGAGAAAATATGGCGCAGCAGTGATATTACCAAGAACTGGACGTCCCTCCATAATTGATGAAAAGACGAGAAGAAAAACTGGTCTGGGAGGCTGCCAAGTGACAATATCAGGTTTCTGTGATGTAAAACAAATGAGACAAATATAAATAATTTCAGAAATTTTTTCCACCTCTAATGTAACCTATAAACTGTACAACTCAGTTGAACATCAAACTGAAATCTTTTATGTATGCTTTGGGTCGTTGCTCTTCATGGTCCGCTTTCTAGCAGAAGCCTGAAGGTTTTGTGCCAATATTGATTGGTATTTGGAACTGTTAATTCCCTCTACCTTGACTAAGGTCCCAGTTCCAGCTGAAGAAAAACAGTCCCAAAGCATGATGCTGCCACCATCATGTTTCACTGTGGGTATGGTATTCTTTTGGTGATGTGCAGTGTTGTTTTTGCGCTAAACATATCTTTTGGAATTATGGCCAAAAAGTTCAACCTTGGTTTCCTTAGACCATAACACATTTTCCGACATGCTTTTGGGAGATGTTGGATGTGTTTTTGAAAAATTTAGCTGGGCTTGGATGTTTTTCTTCATAAGAAAAGACTTCTGTCTTGCCACAATACCTCATAGCCCAGACATGTGAAGAATATGGGAGATTGTTGTGACATGTACCACACAGCCAGTACATGCCAGATATTCCTGTAGCTCCTTTAATGTTCCTGTAGGCTTCTTGGCAGCCTCCCAGACCAGTTTTCTTCTTTTCTTTTCATCAATTTTGGAGGGATGTCCAGTTCGTGGTAATGTCACTGTTGCACAATATTTTCTGCACTTGATGTTGACTGTTGTCACTGTGTTCTATGGTACATATAATGCCTTGGAAATTCTTTTGTACCCTTCTCCTGACTGATACCTTTTAACAATGAGATCCCTCTGATGCTTTGGAAGCTGTCTGCGGCCTTTTTGCTGTAGGATGCGACTAAGAAAATGTCAGGAAAGACCTACTAAAACAACTGAACTTTACTTGGGGTTAATCAGAGGCACTTTAAATGATGGCAGGTGTGTACTGAGTCCTATTTAATATAATTTTTTCAATGTGAATGCTTATTCTGAACACAGCTATATCCCCAGTTATAAGAGGGTGTGCACACTTATGCAACCGCATTATTTCAGTTTTTTTATGTTTATTATTCCCCCCCCAAAAAAAAAGATTTCCGTTTTTCAATTGAGTTGTGCAGGTTATAGGTCACATTACAGAAACCTGACATTCTGTAGACTTTTTATATCCACTGTGTGTATGTGTGTAAACTAAATATACAGTTGTGTTCAAAATAATAGCAGTCAGACATCACTAACCTGATCAATCACTGTTTTTGGTAGAATTGATATTTCTACATGGCAAATAATTTACTAGCAGGTGTAGTAGAGTAATAGAAATCCAACAGTCATGACATGCATGCTGCTGATTCTGTGTAATTGAATCACTAATTGAAAGGGGCATGTTCAAAATAAAAGCAGTGTGGCGTTCTATTAGTGAGCTCATTCATTATTTGAAAAACAGGTGTCAATTATTGCCCTTATTTAAGAAAGGAAGGCAGCAAATGTTGTACATGCTGGTTACTGTGCATTTCTCTCTGAAATTCTGAGGAAAATGGGTCGTTCCAGACATTGTTCAGAAGAACAGCGTACCTTGATTAAAAAGTTGATTGGAGAGGGGAAAACATATAAAGAAGTGCAGAAACTGATAGGCTGCTCAGCTAAAATGATCGCAAATGCTTTAAAATGGCAACCAAAACCTGAAAGACGTGGAAAAAAGTGAAAAACTACCATTCGAATGGATAGAAGAATAGCCAAAATGGCAAGGACTCAGCCAACAATCAGCTCCAGGAAGATCAAAGAAGGTCGAAAGTTACCTGTGAGTACTGTTACAATTAGAAGACACCTATGTGAAGCCAAGCTATCTGCAAGAAGCCCCCGCAAAGTCCCACTGTTGAAAAAAAGACGTGCTGAAGAAGTTACAACTTGCCAAAGAGCACATTGACTGGCCGAAAGAGAAATGGCGCAACATTTTTTGTGGACTGATGAAAGTAAGATTGTTCTTTTTGGGTCTAGTGGCCGGAGACAGTTTGTCAGACGACCCCCAAACACTGAATTCAAGCCACAGTACACTGTGAAGACAGTGAAGCATGGTTGCGCAAGCATCATGATATGGGGATGTTTCTCATACTACGGTGTTGGGCCTATTTATCGCATACCAGGGATCATGGATCAGTTTGAATACATCAGAATACTTGAAGAGGTCATGCTGCCTTATGCTGAAGAGGAAATGCCCTTGAAATGAGTGTTCCAACAAGACAACGACCCCAAACACACCAATAAACGTGCAAAATCTTGGTTCCAGACCAACAAGATTGACGTTATGGAGTGGCCAGCCCAATCCCCGGATCTTAATCCAATAGAAAACTTGTGGGGTGACATCAAAAATGCAGTTTCTGAGGCAAAACCAAGAAATAGAGAAGAACTGTGGAATGTAGTCCAATCATCCTGGGCTGGAATACCTGTTCACAGGTGCCAGAAGTTGGTTGACTCCATGCAACACAGATGTACAGCTGTTCTCAGAAACAGTGCTTATACAACTAAATATTAAGTGATTCAAAGGAAAGCAAAATCTTCAAACATTTTTCAGTTTATATAGTGAATGTTTGAGTTTGTAAAGAAGAATACAAACACTGCTATTATTTTGAACAGTCTAATATTCACTTTTCTTCATTTTTTTTTTTTAGAGGAACAACACACATTTGATATATTTTTCTTCATGTTTTGATTTGGAATATAATGTGTAGTGTTCCCAAAGCATTTGCGTGTATGAAAATAAAAGCTATTAGAAGCATTTTGAGCTTTATTCACTTTTTTCAACACACTGCTATTATTTTAAACACAACTGTATATATGTGTGTGTGTCTATCTCTATCTATCTATCTATATAGTATTTTTTTTCTGCCGTCTTTATTTTCTTGGGGAGATTTCACATCTGCCCCAGAGGTGCAACAGGATGTAGGAGCCAATCTGTACAAAGGGAGGGAAAATCACTTCTAGACAGCTGTCACTGGAACAGATGTTTCCATTAGAAGATTTACTCTCGCTTTTTGCTTAGGTGATGCCACATGCACACTTGACCGTTTAACCCCTGTGTGCCCAATCTCTGTTTTCCATGTATCCCGGAGGCACAGGTGCAGTGTCCAACCTCAGCCTGTTCTAGACTTTGCCAGGCTACAGACAGCAGGGCTGGACGCGCGCCTGTGCCTTCCAAGAGCATGAAAATGTTGGAATTAAACACGGGCTAAACTCCTTTACAATTGTAAAATATTTTGATTCCCCCCTTCACTTTCTAGCTTTGGTGATCAGATAAGAAATGGATGAGATGAATCTGCTTAGGAGGGAAACGGACAGTGATAAATACTTGTCGTGAATTCTACTTCTTCCTTGCTCTATCCAAAGCTAAAAGCTAAAATTTTGGCAATAATTAACTGCTGAAGCCAGAAGCAGCTAGGGGACTATATCTGTATTTAACAAGTGGTCAACAACTGCAGGGTCCATGTTGTCTCAGTGCAAGTTTTTACAGCTGTACCTTTTAACACAAAAGCGAGTAATCTCTTTTCTGCATTCCTATTTATATTTAGATGATACCTACAAACCTCAAAAGCAAATTATTTAGAATACACTGATGTTTTCACATTTCTGTTTCTAATAACCACAGATGCCTGTGGTGACGTAACTGTAACATTGCAGTCTATGAGCCGTCAAAGAGAGAAGCGCACCCTGCAGATATCTAGCAAGACAGAAGGTGCTACTTTCATTTTTGAGGATATCCTGCCTGGAAAATACAAAGGTAAGGCAAGTGATTGGTGATAAAGATGGCAGATTTGTCTAGCTCTCAATGTAGCCTTGACTTCTAATGGCAGTTAAGTAATCATTTGTGTGTAATTGCCAGTCTAAACCGCTATAACTTCAGCGAACATTTAACAAGCTACAAGCAGCTTGCATGAAGCCATTGAAACACTCTTTAACGGATGACTGTGTTTCTTAAAGAAGATTTTATATTTATATATATATATATATATATATATATATATATATATATATTTTTTTTTTAAAAGGTATGTGTAAATGGTGTGTATCTCAATGACTGCAGGTGACTGTTTCCGCTAAAAAAAAAAAAAATCGTTTCACTTCAAATTCATAGAACACGGTGCATTGTTGGAGTGTACTTTTTTTATTTTTAAATAAGAACCAGCAGTCCACTTAAGATCTGTCTTCCATTCATCTAGATACAAGCTAAAGCATATCCCAGGACTTTGAGAAACTTGTAGCATCAGTACTACAAGCATGTCAAATGCTTGTAGTACTGATGCTATATAGACTGGACTTACTAGCAGGGACTGTTCAATGCTTGTGTGTTAGGGATCTTTCAAACAGGTCCCTCCTGTTCCAATCAGCAGGGTGTCTGTCTGCTGATCCAGAGCAGGGCGGATTACGGGTCACTGTCCGCTCAGTTTATACAGAGCGGACATGGACAGACCCCGCTCTGCTTTGTGAGGGGCCAGGTGTAAACAGACTTTGCTGTCCATTTTATACCTGTCTGCCTCTGATCCAGTCTTCCCAAACAAAAGAAGATGCAGTCCTCAATTTTCTTTAAGCGGGCCTGGTCAGACTGAGTTAGGTGTCTGTTTATACCCGCCTGTCCAAAGCAATGCAATGTGATCAGGTCCACCTGAAAAACTGACAGGCGGATCTGATCGGATTGCTTGTTTGAAAGGGTCCTTAAAGGCATAATTAGAAAGTGACACAGTGAATCAGTAAGCTCAAATATCAACAAAATTGTGGCTTTACTTCTCTGGTTGATACCGTTATGCCGAACTCTGATGTTTCTACATGGTTTTTTGCTTTTTTTTGTCAGTAAAACATACAGAACTGTACATGGATTAGCAGAAGTCTTTGTAGAATTTAAGTGCTAGTGTTAAAACAGTAGCTTTTGGGAATCACTACATTTAATTTGTCCTGTGTGTTTCTTTTCCAAGCGAGCATTATCCAGGAAGACTGGTGCTGGAAGAATAAATCTGTAGAGTTTGAGGTTACAGAAGACAATGTTGTTGGTGTAGAGTTCAGACAGACTGGCTACATGCTAAGATGCTCCCTTTCACATGCTATAACCCTGGTAAGTAATATTTGTAATTTTATGTTTGGAGAAATAGTTTTTTTTTTCTTGTTTATTGATGGACACAGGAAGTCTTGACTCTCTGGTTTATACTCACTCCTTCAGGAGGAGGACAAAAAAAAATGGGCCAGCTCAGGGACGTCAACAAAGATTGAACTAAATGGACTGGTGTCTTTATTTAACTTTACCAACTATGAATTATAAAACAGAAATTGCCTGATAAAAAATGTATTTTTATACTGACTTTCAATCGTGTTTTTCTTTAAACAGGAGTTTTACCAGGATGGAAATGGACCAGAACATGTTGGTGTTTACAATTTAACAAAAGGGGTGAACAGGTTTTGTCTTTCAAAACCAGGTGATTAATGCTTTTTATATATTTTTGTCTTTTAGATGTTCAATCTAGTTTAGAAGGAAGTTTAAAATATATCCAAAGCATTTTTTTTGTTTTGGATAGAGTGGAAAATAGCTAAAACCTGTTAATGACCTAATTGAATTTCTTTTCTGGTGACAGTTTTAGTTTTTTGGATCTTTGATTGATAACGTTCTCTCCCAGTCTTAATTTTCATTAAAACAGATTGGAAGGTTGAATCTTGCCAAACTTGATAGGAGTGTTAATTCCTTACTCTATCTAAAATGTAAACAAAAATGATTTGGTTTTAGTTACATATTCACGCATGGCTAGTGTGGTTGTTTCTGAATTGCTGTAGTTGATACTGCTGGCTAAAGCAGATTAGTTGTAAAATATGTATCATTTTATATACCTGGACTTAATATAACATTCTATTATAACTAATTAACAAAGGATCCGCTCATCAATCAAAGCTGATTTTGCCAACTCACTACATTCAGTGCTGTCACTGTAACCAAATTGCACATATACCAAAAAGGAAAGGTTCTTCAGCAAAGAAGCTGAAGCAGAGAATGGTTACCTATGTGACAAGAGTGGCTTAATAAACAATAATGATATCACAAAAAATATACATTTTATTATAAACCAAGGAAGTCTAGGATAGGCAAAATTATTAATAAACACACAACATCTTCGTTCTTAAAAACAGCTAGATGGTGTCTGATACTATGTAAATGTGTGGGTGTAAAGCCACAGGATCGCTCTCTCACCATCAATGAGTATCACAGAGCAGTCTATTGGGGTGGTGGTGCACTTATGTGGCTTACCATATAATCCCTAGTGAACAGTCAACTACTGAGCAATTTCATTTGGCATATCACCAAAGCAGGATCATTATTACAGTTGTGAAAATGTCCCTTAGCACATCACTTTTTCAAGCTTAGAATGCCCTTAGCATATCATGCTCCTTTAACCTATTCACCTGGTTACATGCCATTTGAATGGTGCTTCAGTATTATGGAGATATATACTTAAGGGAAATATTTTATTTACCACACAGTGTTTTGCTTTTATGTATATTATGTATATCTAATAGCCTTGAAACTACCGGAGTGTTCATATCATCCTTCCTTTTTTGCCCCTTTTAAACACTGCTTAGCAGAAATAATCAACTATGGGTACCTGGGGCCAATCTATGAGGGATCATTCAGTAGGCAATTAATTTAGTCACCAGTCCTGTAGGGTGCTTTTTTCCAAATGGAGTTTAACAGTAGGGTTAGATCATCAGTAAACCGGCTAATAAAAATTATGCTGAATACATAAATAGTTGTAACATACAAACATTGCTGTTCAGCTGTATATTGACTTATGTCGATATTTAGTGAACACCCCATGGCATAAAGTGGCTGTAATTTTTATTGCATAAAGCAACATAAGTTACTAGCATACACATATATCCATCAAGGTGGTGCACTTAGCCTATTATAAGTACTGGCTCAATGTTGCCAATCTAGCACATGTATACTGACAAAGTGTGGTTATAAGAGATCAGTCCATGAGGGCAGTAATATCCACCTGTATTGGCATTATATCTCCACAGCTGGAGAACCGTTCCCAGTGGTGTACAGCTGAGCTGTTTTAAAGCTGCTGTTAAATGGAAAGCTTAATCTCCCTAGATAGTAAAATATGGGAGTATCAAAGGTCTTAACAGAGTGTAGCAACATGCCGGTAATCACCATGTGTATTCTTTTGTCCGGTTTTGCTGTGCTTTTACTTAGTTTTGCTTCATCAGGACGTCGTACACTATCTAGCTGTTTTTAATGATAATTAAAGCGGAGTTCCACCCAAAAGGGGACGCTCCGATTTAAAGATTGGTCTCCCGCTCCATTAAGGATTGGCACATTTTGGGGAGTGGGGGGGACACGGGTACCCGAATTTGACAGGTACCAGCTCTCACTTCTGCTGCGATCGCCTAGGCGGTCGGAAACGGAAGTTGTCCTCCTACCCTCCCTCCCTCCCTGAAGTCTTGTGGGATACGTGACAGGTCCCAGAAGACTACGGGGCCATTCAGGAAGCGCAAGCTGTCACAGCCAAATGCCCACACTGAAGATGCCGATGCCTGCAATACAGGACGACCGGTGAAACGGGCTGCGGTGGGGGCAAAGCGGGATCTTGGGACAGGTGAGTACCTATTTTTTAAAAGTCAGCAGCTACAGTTTTTGTAGCTGCTGACTTTTTTATTTTTTACTGAGTGAGTGGAGCTCCGCTTTAAGATGTTGTGTGTGTATTAATAATTTTGTATATCCTAAACTTCCTTGGTTTATAATAAAAAGTTATATTTTTTACGATATCATTATGGTTTATTAAGCCACTCTTGTCACATAGGTAACCACTTTCTGCTTCAGCTTCTTTGCTGAAGAACCTTTCCTTTTTAGTATATAACCTTCTATTAGTAAGAAGTAATTAAATTTTTTTATTTTCTGCTTTTTCACTAAAACTGTTTCAGATAAAGCAAAAAACTGGTAATCAGAAAGTGTATTGACGTCCAAAACGTTTTAAGATTTGGATAGGGTGGAGAATTGGTGAAAACCCCTGTCAAGTTTGTTTTGCTGCCTGTATCCTGCTGGGACCATTTCCCTTCACAACCTGTCCTGGAAACACAACAGAAAATAAACTCTCAAGTGAGGGGATTTCCCATCTCAGGTCAGGACAGCTAGCGAACACAGCCATAAAATCCTTACCGTAAGTCTAACCCTTTCCTACCTTATCCAGAATTAAAAAAAAGCTTGCCTTTACACTAAAGTGGTTGTAAAGGTTAATTAAAAAAAATAATTTATACCCACCTGCTCTTTGCAATGGTCCCTTGCTTCCTCTTCTGGAGTCCCCAGCTGGTTCTGTCTGCTCCTTCTACTTGTGGGTGCCCCCGATGTGGGGTACGCTTCTGGGCTAGGCTGTGTATATCTTTAGATGCACACAGTGCGGCTCATACACGCCCCCTACCCCACTCCCTATTCACAGCTTTGATGAACAGCAGCAGCTTGTGGCTTCTGCTACTCAGTGTATCCTATGAATCCAGGAAGGGAGAGCAGTGCGGCTCCAGGATGGCACTGGATCAAGAGAGGAGCCAGGTAAGTGTTTAGGGCTGGGGTGGCTAGGACAGGTACAGTGGGGCAAAAAAGTATTTAGTCAGCCATAAAATTGTGCAAGTTCTCCCACTTAAAAAGATGAGAGGCCTGTAATTGGCATCATAGGTAGACCTCAACTATAAGAGATGAGAAATGAGAAAAAAAATCCAGACAATCACATTGGCTGATTTGGAAAGAATTTATTTGCAAATTATGGTGGAAAATGAGTATTTGGTCACCTACAAACAAGCAAGATTTCTGGCTCTCACAGACCTGTACCTTCTTCTTTAAGAGGCTCCTCTGTCCTGCACTCATTACCTGTATCAATGGCACCTGTTTGAACTTGTTATCAGTATAAAAGACACCTGTCCACAACCTCAAACAGTCACACTCCAAACTCCACTATGGTGAAGACCAAAGAGCTGTCGAAGGACTCCAGAAACAAAATTGTAGACCTGCACCAGGCTGGGAAGACTGAATCTGCAATAGGCAAGCAGCTTGGTGTGAACAAATCAACTGTGGGAGCAATAATTAGAAAATGGAAGACATACATGACCACTGATAATCTCCCTCGATCTGGGGCTCCACGCAAGATCTCACCCCGTGGGGTCAAAATGATTACAAGAACGGTGAGCACAAATCCCAGGACCACACGGGGGGACCTAGTGAATGACCTGCAGAGAGCTGGGACCAACGTAACAAAGGCTACCATCAGTAACACACTACGCCGCCAGGGACTCAGATCCTGCAGTGCCAGACGTGTCCCCCTGCTTAAGCCAGTACATGTCTGGGCCCGTCTGAAGTTTGCTAGAGAGCATTTGGATGATCCAGAAGAGGATTGGGAGAATGTCATATGGTCAGATGAAACCAAAATAGAACTGTTTGGTAGAAACACAACTCGTCATGTTTGGAGGAGAGAGAATGCTGAGTTGCATCCAAAGAACACCATACCTACTGTGAAGCATGGGGGTGGGAACATCATGCTTTGGGGCTGTTTCTGCGCAAAGGGACCAGGACGACTGATCCATGTACAGGACAGAATGAATGGGGCCATGTATCGTGAGATTTTGAGTGCAAACCTCCTTCCATCAGCAAGGGCATTGAAGATGAAACGTGGCTGGGTCTTCCAACATGAAAATGATCCCAAACATACCGCCCGGGCAACGAAGGAGTGGCTTCGTAAGAAGCATTTCAAGGTCCTGGAGTGGCCTAGCCAGTCTCCAGATCTCAACCCCATAGAAAACATTTGGAGGGAGTTGAAAGTCCGTGTTGCCCAGCGACAGCCCCAAAACATCACTGCTCTAGAGGAGATCTGCATGGAGGAATGGGCCAACATACCAGCAACAGTGTGTGCCAACCTTGTGAAGACTTACAGGAAACGTTTGACCTCTGTCATTGCCAACAAAGGATATATAACAAAGTATTGAGATGAACTTTTGATATTGACCAAATACTTATTTTCCACCATAATTTGCAAATAAATTCTTTCCAAATCAGCCAATGTGATTGTCTGTATTTTTTTTCTCATTTTGTCTCTCATAGTTGAGGTCTACCTATGATGCCAATTACAGGCCTCTCTCATCTTTTTAAGTGGGAGAACTTGCACAATTGGTGGCTGACTAAATACTTTTTTGCCCCACTGTAGGTGGTCGTTTTTTACTTTACTATGCAGGGAATACATCAATGTAAAAAATGGGTCGAGTTTAGAACCACTTTAACTTTACAGTGACTTTGTCATGAGTGAAGTGTGGAGGCTGACATAGAAGACCTACCTCTGAAAATCCTTACTACATTCCCTTGACTTTGTTTCCGTCACAGGCCCTGAACAGGCATTGGGGAGATATCCTTTCACTACCTGTCCCATAGACAAAACAGGAAGCAGGAAATAATCCCACCAAAGTGAGTCAAGTCCTTGTCTCCAGGACTGTTGTCCCCCTTGGAAGTTTTCCCCTCTAGTTCCTGCTCTGGTGACAACCGAGAATTTGGAAATTTCACTTTCCCTCAGTGATAATAGTAATCAGAAAAAAGAGTCCTAATCCCTGTTCACTCTATCCAAAATTACAAAATAAAAGTTTCTCTTTAGGTCTACTTTAGTTTTTTAAATTCAGACTCAATTCAATCAGTGATGGGCTATACACTGGATTACTATGTTGCTAAAAAGAGAAAATGGCAAATACTGATAAAGCAATGGCTATAAATGAGAGACCTCTTCACTGACTTATATGATCCATATATTTTATCTATACTATCCATATTATATTACCTTGGATTTCAGTAGATTCAAGAGGAAAGAAAGAGAAAAATTATGTAGTGGTCCATTGTACTAAAGTAATGAAAACGGCATTGTTTAGCTTTTTTATTTGAAACTGGTATTTTAACAGACCTTTTTCCCAAACCAACAACAAAGTTTTTTTCTGTAAGCCTAAGGGGCTTCCAAAGTCTATTTAAAAGTGTACACTACCCCCCTTTAGGTCCTATTTTTTTTAGGTTGCAATTCTGACCTGCCTCCTTGATTATTACATTTCAGTATAGGTGACTCAGCAACTTGAAGTGACTTGTTTTACAGTATGTGATTCTGGGGAGAAGGGCTGGGCCTGGGCTCTGGCTTGGAGATGTATCTGTTTCTAATACACAGTGTGCCCTTGGATTCCAGAGTTTCCTTGGGTGCACATATCTTTTTGATGACTTATGTGGTAGTTTACCTCCATTTTGTTGCCTGCTTCTTGGATGATATACTGGTATAGATATTTTGTGATATGACAGGTTCACTTTTAGCTGAAAGCTGTAAAAACAAACCAAATTGCATTGTATTCTGTAAAAATTCTTAAATTCTGCTTATTTCATCTACTTTTCAGGTGTTTACAAAGTCACACCACGTTCTTGCCATCGGTTTGAACATGCTTATTACACTTATGACACGTGAGTATTTTATTTTCTATTGTTTTTTGTTGATGAAAAAAATGTTGCTATGAACTATTTAAATGCAGTGTAACTACAGTGTAATTTCTTAGAAATACACTTTCATTCTCCTCCATTAAAGGACACAGGATTTCTGTAGTTTGAAAGGCTATACTGCTTTGTTCCTGAGGAAATAGCTACTGAGGGAAAACTGCCAACAAATGCAGGTTTTCCCAGTTTTATACTGGTGGTTCTCTGTGAAATTAAATTTCTAGAAGCTTCCTAGACTGGCTACAGCTCTCCAATTAGCCAAGCAGCACAGGCTCCCAGTTGATTATATATACCGGTGTTCTTTCTGGGACAATCCCATGATCGGCAGATAGTACTTGTCTTTGTTTCTGTTCACACAGTTTAGGCTAATATGTCTGGGGAATATGGACACACAATTCCCTCTCCCCCGTCGTGATAGCCTTGCAGACATCTGCTGGGCTATGGTTTTGTCTGTTTGGTGCTGAGAATATTTGCTACGGAATCAACTGTAGCTGAATGTCCAGTTTGTTTGGAGTTAAAAGTTCTCCTTTTTGTTTCTGGGCTTGCTTATACTTTATGTACATGGGGCATGAGGGAGCCCCCCCTCTTTATTTCTGCTCTGGCTTACAAGGAGAACTTTTTACAGTTTATTTTCCTTCCTCTTCTTTCTCTCTAGTTTTTGAAGATGCAGCACCTTTCAGGAGGGAACACTCATGCATGTGAGTGGGTGAAAGCAAACACGTGAAATTTTGCATGTGCTGTATGTTGGTAAACCAGGAACTGAACAGCAGGTCACTGTGCTGTGTGGAGTGCCTGGGAAGTGTGCTGCATCTCTACCAATTGGATACGAACTACTGGAAGTGCACCAATGAGAAAGCTAAAAATGTTGCTTTACTTTCTGACTCAGTGCATCAATTTCTGCTGTGAAGGGAGTTTAGGGTGGTCTGTGAATATGGCTCTAGTGCAGTCACTGTACTTAATATACACCAGAAATAGAGCTTTATCTCCCAATAGTCAATGCAACCCATTTCCCATTGAGGATAATGCCTTAATCATTTGACCACTTGGGAATTCAACCTCTAGTACCAAGTTCTCCTCCTCCACCCTCCCTACCTCTTCCTTTCTTTTGATCAATCAGATTGTAAGGAAATTCATGTGCATCCCCCTGATCTGTCACCCCATGTGCCTGTCTTTCTGTTTCCACCAGCCCCTTGCAGTCCCACAAATCCTTCCTATGCCTATTCAGAGATCCTGTACTCCCTCTGGCTACTTGCTTGGAAGAAGAGAAACTGCAGGAGGCTGAGAAAAGTACAGCCGCAGTCTGCACCTAACCCCCACTGCTGTTGTATTGTGAAATCTGGCTTCTCCGCGACAATATGTTACAGAGCTTAGAAGCTATTGGAGGCAGGGACATTCCTGCAACTGCTGTGCACCCTTGTTGAAACAACCCTCCTTTCAACTACTAATATTACTGCCAGCCAGCGTGTTTGATTCATTGGGAGGTCTCCATCTCCTAAGAGAACCTGCCCCTATTGCTGGGTCCTCAGCCTGCTGTCTGAGCCTCAGCAAGTTACCTAGTATAGTCAGAGCTAAAAGAGCTGGCAGGCTGAATTAGCAATTCCCTCCTGCATTTTTAACCAGCTCCCCCTCACCTCCGTGCACTCTGAACCAAACCCTTCATCACCACTTCTCTCACTATCTACTGATCCCAAACCTCCTCCTTCTCTCACCACCCATTATGTTTCCATGCCCCTTTTCCATTTCTTATCACTCATTGTACCTGCTGCTCCCTTTCTTTCATAACCTACACCGCAATACCTACATTCCTCCTTCTCTCACTATCCTCTGCTCCTGCACCTCCCTTCTCCCACTACCATATATGCTTTAACCCCCCTTCTCTCACAATCCTGTGTGTCCATGCCCCCCCCCCCCATTATCTCAGTATCTACTATACCTGCATTCCCTCCATCACTGCACCTGTACTCCATCCCTCGCCACCCTGTACCTGTGCATGATTACTTTCACTTCCCCCAACACACTCTTACCACTGTGCCTATTCATACCTCCTTCTTTCACCACCACACATAAACTCTCACCCAATGTTTGTATGCACACACACCCCCTTTGCTCCCACCATTGTACCTGCACACTGATATCTTGCTCTTGCCACCATGCCAGCACCCCACTCTGTTCCCCAACACCACACCTACATGCCTCCCATTTCACCACCACGTCTGCACAAACCCTTCTCTCACCACTGTGCCTGATCTCCCATTTAACAAACAACTTCCCCCTTGTATTCTTCTCACTGTCCTCTCTTCAGTGTAGTGGAGTATAGCCTACATTACATTCTTACCTAACCTACTCTGGCTCTCATCACTGCACTTTTACCCCTTCATTCTCCAATATCCCTTCACTATCACCCTTTTTTCTGTAGGCCCCCTTGCTCACCTCATGTGCCCCAACACTTCTCAAACACACTGCAGGTTACTTACATTTAAAGAAAATATAAAAACTTTTGAGTCCAGGGGTAGATTAGATACTCTGAATGCATGTAAACACAGACACAAATGAACGCAGCAAAAAGTGATCTATAAAGTTTGTTTATACATCCCAGATGAATGTATCCATATTTAAAGAATTGTAAACCCAACATTTCATATTCCTGATATGTTCCTGCTGTACAATGTACTTGTAGGAAAACATTTCAGTTCTCTTTGTATGGCTTCCTTTATGGGAAATACCTCGGGGGGGGGGGGGTCAGGGGGGTCTGACCCCCATCCCCAGAGGAGAGTTACCAACCAACCCTTGATCCACTCGCCCGCAAGTGGAAATAAGGTGGGGGCAGCGAGCAGTGCTGGGAATAGCAGTGTGTTGGAGGGGTGGCGGTGGGGGCAGTGACCATGCAGCTTCATTGAAAGCCATACAGGAGGTCACTGCTGGTCACTGCCCCCACCGCTGCACAGAACATACCTGACTGTTAAGCTTTCTTTCTGGCCCTCCCACCACCGCTGTGTTTTTCTCACTGCCCAGCCCCTCCCTCCATTCTCCACACCAATAGGAGAGGAGGGGAGAGAGAGGCTGCATCTGCTCTGTCTCCCCCCTGTGCCCGCCCACACTCCAGTCCGTGCAGCTTCAGTCGATTTGTGGGCGAGAAACTGAACACAGAGCAGCCAACAGCCCTGATGCTTCTGACTGAGTGATGTAAGTTCAACGTCAATTCCTTCCACCCCTCCCTCCCTTCCTTCCTTCCACCCACTCCTCCCTCCCTGCGTTCTTTCCTTCCTTCCTTCCACCCACTCCTCCCTCCCTGCGTTCTTTCCTTCCTTCCTTCCACCCACTCCTCCCTCCCTGCGTTCTTTCCTTCCTTCCACCCACTCCTCCTTCCCTCCCTTCCTTCCACCCACTCCTCCCTTCCTCCCTCCCTTCCTCCCTCCCTTCCTCCCTCCCTCCCACTCCTCCCTCCCTCCCTTCCTACCTTCCTTCCTACGGTGTATGGGCAGACCGCTCACAATGACAGTGTGTACGAGTCCTGCATGGCACCTGCAATCTGCTGATCATGGGTGCAATGCTTTTGCTTGCACCTGCAATGTGCATTTATTATTAATTAATTATTTATTTATTTTAAGTGAACTGTTCTTTTAAACTCAATAGAGACATTCCTATCTCTATTTTCACCCACAAGGTAGTATTGTTTGTAGCCATTACCCAGCAAGTTTTTAAAATGGCACTTTATCCTGCAAAAATCCTTTCTGGTTTTGATGTTAAGACTCATTTCTGCATTTCATCTGAACCAGGAGACAGGAGATTGTTCTCTTGTCCCTCAGTCTAATTGAGAAAATTTCCCTCCATTGTCTGGATGTTTTTCGGGTGATGCAAATCTATCTCTCAGCCACTGCTTCTTCCAGTAAGGCTGTTGCACTTTTGTATTCCCAGATGGAACACATAAGTCTTCTCAGTCCACCAGCTGTAGGTGACTTGGGTAGACGATCATCCAAAATTAAGATGTTGAGAATTGGGTTCTCCCCATTCCTAGCAAAATATATTCTGCTACATTTGAAAATGCTTTTTGCTCTGCTTGAAATCAAAAATGTTTCCCAGTTTGTGACGCTGCCACCTTTTTTCGCAGTTCAACCAGGCAAAATGCCAGTTTGAGGTGTTGGGTCCTTCAGGAGGCTCTTGAGCTGTAAGCAGTCTCCAGTTTTCTGTTGTTTTTCTGGGGTCTGTTTTGCTACAATTTTGCTCACCCCCCCCCCCCCCATTTGGACTGTCTTTGGAAATCCCTACAGTCTAAAGAATGCCTGTGTGCAATGGATAGGAAAATAGGATTTTTGTACTCCCTTTAAACATTTTTTATTTTTCCTTTGAAGAACACAGGTCTTGTAAAGGGAGACAAATAACCCTGTATAGAGAACCCAATCAAACATTTAATCAAAGATGGGAACTCACATTTTCAAATTTACAAACAAAATATCAAAGAATAAAGGGGAGAGAAAAAACATACCCTGACTCCAAACATTTAATGATAAATGCTACACTAAACAAAGAGCTTCAGGTTTTTCTCCAAAGTAAAACAGAACAAAAAGAAGAAAACAATTATAGCAATCTTAAAAAAAAGATTATATTTAGTTAACTGTTCTCTCAAACATTGTTGGACTGTCCCAGGATATAGTCCAGGAATAGTCCATTAGCCATGTTACCTTGAAGAATCCATGTGTGGTCAAAAACTCCCACAGACAAAAGGGTTTTTGAAATGGCCTCTCCCTGAATCATTACCCAAATCTCAAATCACTTAACTAGACCTTCTACTAAATGTAAAGTAGAATAGATACTTGTATAATTTAAGTTAGCAGAACATGTTATTGTTCTAGTTAAAAAAAAAAAAAAAAACGCTCAGTTGTAAATAAAAAAAAAATGTATCTTCATGTTCAAAACATTCTGTATTGAACTAATGTGTATTTTTTAATTACCAGATCTTCACCCAGTATCCTCACTCTGACTGCAGTGCGACATCATGTCCTTGGGGCCATAACAGCTGATAAACTAATGGATGTCACCATCACTATTAAGTATGTTTAGAGCTTTGCGGCATACTTGAGTTTCTTCGCAGAATGAGGGTATCTCATTAACTGAATCCATTGTGTTATACTAGTTATTTGTAATGCAAAGTGTAGTGCAGAACTGACACATCTCCAGAGCGTAAAATATTGAAATCTGGCATATGTATTAAGATGAACTTTAACTGTGTTATTGAATGCATTTTTGCTCCAGACTCCTAGTCCTTCTAATGTTTAAAGTAATATTAAAGTCTTTTTTTGTTTTTCAAATAACTACCATGGTTATGCTTGCCTGCTCTGTGCAGTGGTTTTGCACAAAGCAGCCCGGATCCTCCGCTTCTCGTGTCTCCCGCCTGTGCTCCTGGCCCCTCCCTCCTGCTCAGTGTCCCCAGAGCAAGCAACTTGCTACAAGAGCACCCAAGCAGGCATGCTCTTGAGCCATTGCTCTGCGTATCCATTCACACACAGAGCCGCAGCTCGGCCCCACCTCCTCCCTCTCCTGATTGGCCAGTGGCTTCCGCTGCTACCTCAGCCAATCAGGAGTGAGAGTCCCTGGAGAGCTGAGGCTCTCATGAACATCTCTTGATGGAGAGGGGGTTCAGATACGTATTTGGGGGCTGCTGCACACAGAAGGTTTTTTTACCTTCATGCATAGAATGCATGAAGTTAAAAAGACATTGAGCCTTTAGAACCACTTTTTAATACAGATAAAAAAATAATTTTGGAGTGGGAACACTGACCCCGTTCATATGTTTTCAATGCCAAACATGATGAGGTTTGAGAAGGTATAGCTTTTCTCAGTACTTGGAGGGTAAATTTACTTTTATTTCAAAACCCACAAACCTTATGCCCTTCAACTTAGTGTTACTAAACCCACAACAGTAAAATCAGTGTATATGCAGTAAATCATGATGGTTATACTCACTGTGGAACTTAAGGGGTTAATCCTCTGCATTGTGTAAAAAGGATGTTTGATCTTCCCCTTCTTCCACATTCCCCATTTCATCTCCTGATCAAACAGAGCCTTGGGGACACTCTGTAAATGCTCAGTTTGGCATGTACTGCTGGAGAGTTTTTTTTTATTTTTCTTGGGAGGGTGCATGTGATCATCACAGGGCCAATCAGCACTGTCCAGACAGAGGGTCAGGGGTATGCAATCCCATAGGGCAGTGAGAGGAGAATGAAAACTCCTCCTACAAGCTTTAGCCAGTGCTCTGCTGAGCAATGATAGAAGTCACAAGACTGGTCTTACTGCTGAGAAAAGGTATTTTGCAGTTTATATTTACTAAAATAATTGTATTTCCATGTTCTGTGTACTAGGAGAGACTAGTTATAGTGAATGCAGGGCCCTGGGTTTAGTAACACTTAAAAACAGATGTTTTTTGGCAAAACACTGTAGGCCAAGGTCAAGTTCTTTTTCAGTTATTTCTTCGACCACACTGAGTTTTTTATTCCAATGCAGGTCTTCCATAGACAGTGAACCAGCTCTTGTATTGGGGCCATTAAAGTCTATCGAAGAGACACGTAGAGAGCAGCAGCTAGCTGAGATTGAAGCTCGGAGGCTGGAGAGAGAAAAAGCTAGTACAGAAGACACTGACATTCAGCCACCTGTCCAGGAAGTGGTGGAAGAGCTTCAGGGGCCATTTTCATATGAATTTTCCTACTGGGCAAGGTAGGATGTGCTTTTATGGTTGTGATGCAGTCTACAGTGGAAGGCATGAAAGTCTTTTGGAGGGTTAAAGTGGTTGTAAACCTATACATATACCCAGTGAAGTGACTGGCCTCAGGTGATACACAGAGATTAAAAAAAAAAACCCAAAACTCTTACATAAGTTGTACCTGTCTATCTGCAGTATTCTCTTCTCTACAGCATTGCAAAGTCCAAAATTTATACAGATTGTCTGGGCTTTCAGAAAACAGGGGCTGGAAAGCAGAAATTACACACTGCAGAGCTCAGTGAGGGAAACTCTGAGAACTGATTAGTGAAAGGGACACATTCCCTTCACACAGCACATAGGAACAGAGCTGGGCTGTCAGTCACAGGCTGTTTGCTGGAGATCTCTCTCCTGTCACCTTTTTTTCTGTTGGTGTCAGGAAATCTTGTCAGAAGTGATTCATGCCTCGTAGCAGAGGAATGAAGCCGCAGACAAATGACACTTACTGCTCTTAATTGAGATAAGTACACACTATAGAGGGATATGCTTTGTTTCATATTTAATGTCTGAGGTTTACAACCACTTTAAGAACTGTGTATGATGATATACTTTTGGTGTTGTAAATGATAAGGATAGATGTTTGTAGTGCTATTTTGCTTGATCTCAGAATTTAATAACCAGAACTTAAAGTTATCCTTGGTTGTCTGGCACTATTTATCTTAAATTTATATATCCAAAACCCAAACTTTTTAATTTTTGAGAGAGTAAGGAATGTAATACATTAAGCTTCTCTACAGAACAGAACAGGGAATCTTTTTAGTCTTTAAACCATGGATTATACACAGCAGCATTTAGGTGTCTGGAAGAAATTTAAAGCTGCAGGGATAACCCCTATACAATCCCCTCCCCTCACACAGCTGCCCCCAGTTTTTTGCTAGTGTCCTTATGTGATGAAACTTTTCTGTACTGCACACCAAGGTTCCCTCCATAATAAATCATTGTGATCCCTGGATGACTGACCTGGGTGAGGCAGTCTACAGTACTTAATTCTTCACTTATCACACCAGCAGTGATCCAAGGCTCCCACCATAGTACAGCACAGTGACTCCTGAATGCCTACTTGGGTGCAGCAGCCTAGTGTCGGGCACAGAAGGCTTAACCCCTTCCTCTCCACAGTAGCAAAGGTTGTGAGTGTCCCTATAGAGGCATTTTTACACAACACATGGCAGGTCACAAGTGTAGGTGTTATTGTCAGAAAAGTTTTTTTTTCGTATATTTAGTTGGCTAAAAAAAAGTCTACTAGTGGCTGTACGGTTGTTTAATACTGCCTTATTTTGTATAGTGGTTGCTTGGGGCAGAAAACTGTTGTGATGGGCATATGACTGATCAAGGTAGTTGTATGATAGAGTTCATGGAGCTAGTCATGGTATGCTTGGTTAACAGGCATACATTAAGTATGTTACGATTAATTGAATAAGGTGAAAATAAATAGATCTAGTGTGGGCACAGATCTGTTATATTAGCTCTGCTGATCAGAGCGGTAATCTTCTTTTTGCATATATGTCATGTTATGATATTGTACTTTGGTAATTAATCATCACACTCTACTTTATAGCTGTATGTAACAGGAATTAGGAACAGTTTGGTGGGTTATCCTTTAAATGTAGAGTTACTGACTTTGTTTTATCATTTTCTGTGTTATTAACTTTAGCTCTTATTGAAATGCTTTTAATTTTTAGATCTGGTGAGAAGATTACAGTTACACCATCATCTAAAGAACTTTTGTTCTACCCACCTTCTGTGGAGGCTGTTGTTAGTGGAGGTAATTACATTTCTAATTAGCAACTTTTAGTGATGATGTTTGTGGCCGGTAAAAGATACCACTATCTCCATGCCACACTCTGTTAATTCAACAATAGGGAACAGATAGATCTCCTATGGCTAATAAAAAATGCATTGAGCATCAACCCAATAGGAATCTTTTCAAAATCCTAAACACACAGATGCATAAATATGTAGAACAGGAAAATCTTGGAATGCCTCTAGCTGGAATTCAAAATGAAAGTCACATTTACTCGAAGCTCATCTCCCCCAGCCCATGTCATTTTAGTGAAACTTTCTTTTCATTTCCACAACCTGACAGTTATTTTATTTCAGTTGCTCTGGTTATTTTGTGCAAAAGTTATTTTCTACTGTTTTAGAGTTGTGTACAAACAGGTTGGGCTAGAAATAGTATTACAAATGTATATACAGTGCTCAGCATAAATGAGTACACCCCAGCACCTTTGCCAGTAAACCTTTACTTTCGTTTCAGAATCAGCATTTTCTATAGGACACTATATTACCAAATACTCCCACAAAGGTGGGCCTTTGATTGCTAACAAGATTTGTTAATTTGCACACAAAGTATTTTTGCTAACAAATTCATTCAAGACCATGTTGTAAAAATGAATAGTCTTAGGAACAAAGACAAATTTTAGACCACAAAATCCTAATTGACAAGAATTCAACTGCAGGCAGGTCAAATTATTCATTAAACAGGTGTCCAGCAGACCGTTGATTATAAAAGGACGATACTTAACAAGGAAAACCCCTTCCCGTTTCATGCTGTCATCAATGGCACCACATGGAAGAGACATGTCACAAGGCCTGATAAAGAAAATAATTTCTTAACACAAGAAAGGTGAAAGCTACACGAAGATCAGCAAAGCTTTACTCATCAGTCAGAATACTGTAGCAAAAATGGAACGGCAGCCATCTCAGAGACCAGGCCTTCAACAGAAATTAGCAGCTCGACAGGAGCATCTTCTGATGAGAAGGCTTCAAGAAAATCGCCATGCAAGTTCACTGCAGTTAGCTAAAGAAGTAACCCAACTGGAGTGATTGCTTCCCGTGACACATTGCGGCATACACTGCAGAGGAATGGATGGGTGTCCATGAAGAAAGCCTCTTCTAAAGCCCATGCATAAAAAAGCCCACCTAAAATTTGCCAGGGCCCATGCTGAAAAGGAAGAAGACTACTGGGACTCTGTACTCTGGAGTGAAGAGACCGAGATAAATGTGTTTACAACACCATACACTTTTGAAGCTATCTGTTCCAAAGGCTTTTACTGTGGGGTGTATTCATTTTTGCATCAACTAATTTGAGTAAAACTGAAGCTTTTGTAATCTATTTATATTATTAACCTTACTTTTATGTAATGAGCTAAACAAATGCTCTATAAAACTCAGTTTTGTCAAAATTTTGAAAATTTGTTCTTGTGTTCATTGAGATATTAAAATCTTACTTTTCAAAAGGGGTGTACTCATTTATACTGAGCACTGTATATTATATAACAACTGTTCAAGCCTAACTCCAGGTCTCTTGTGACTTACTGAAACGTAAACTTTTTGAAAGCCTGCAATCGTACCTGGAAAGCCTATTTTGCTTTATGGGGGCTTTGAAGTTCCATTCTAGGAAGTGCTCCATGGGACACATCCTGCCCTTTCTACGTCCTGATCTAAATCAGCATATGACTTTGACTTCTGAAATCTCATTCCTTACTTAAAGCCTAACTCCAGGTTTCTTGTAACAATATATAGCTAGTTTGGGTCATGCTTCACTACCCGCTGCGCCCGCTGGTAGTGGTGTATAAACTGTATGTAGCATCAGCTACATGCAGTATATGGTGCTGTGTTCCATCAGTGGTATAGGGACCTCCTGTTCTGCTCCCGGAACAAAATTCTGTCAGGCTGAGTGCTGCTCAGCCAATCACAAGAAGCCTTGTATTTCATAAATGTATTTAGAGTTTCATCTGATTGGCTGAGGCAGTGAAATTGATTGAAGATGTCACAATCTCCACCTCGGCCTATCATAGGACGCTTTAAATACATTTATGAAATACAGTGCTTCCTGTGAATAGCTGAGCAGTGCTTAGTTCGGGAAGTCCCTGTCCCACTGCCCAAACACAGCACTGTATGTAACTGATACAGTTTATACAGTACTCCCAGTGGGCACAACTGTTAGAGAAGGTAATAGTTTGGACCAGCTTTGTTCAGATGAATTATTTAAAGTCCTAAGAAACCCGGAGTTAGGCTTTGAAGAGTATGCCTGGTCAAAAAAAAACCCCCCAAAAAAACAGATTTTATTGATGCAGATTTTATAGGTATTTTTCTGTACCTGCAGCAGTTTTTGGAGAAAAAACATGGGGATGCTCATGTATTGCAGAGATGTAATAAATATACCTTAGGTCAAAGTCACTCAATTATTTGTGTGCTCTATCAATAATAAATGCTAAATGCCATAAAATTCAGAAAACCACCTTTTGTTGTTTATGCCCCAATTTAGTTTTTTGCTTAAATAAGTCTCTTAAACTTTGGCTTGATGCAGTTTACTTTGAAAAATTATATTTTTTTTCTTGCTGCATTTCAGAAAGCTGTCCAGGAAAGCTAATAGAAATTCTTGGCAAAGCTGGATTGTTTCTTGAAGGTCAGATACACCCAGAGTTGGAGGGTGTTGAGATTGTGATTAGTGAGAAAGGGGCAGCATCACCACTTATCACCGTTTTTACTGATGACAAAGGTTCATACAGGTTAGTATTACCATTTTTCATATCTGTTCTTAGATGTTTGAATCCATGTTACAAGGCTATCAAAATGTAAACCCATTAGCTTTTTATTGTGTCATCATTGGATATTTGTCTTCCTAGAAAGGAACACGGACAGTAAAATAACCTGATATGGGTTCTAACACTAAAACAAGCGTTTCTCAACCAGGGCGCTGTGAGGACTCAGGTGTGCCTCGGCAAAAAGAACTAAAAACTGTCCAGTCCAATCTGAGATGCTCTGTGTTAACTCCTGTGTACAGACAGGAGGGAGAGCACAGAGACGCACTTCCTTCCGGCTCTCTCCTCCCTTCTGCTGCTATCTGTACTGCTGTCACCAACCCAGAATGCTATGTTTCTGCATGACCGTGTCCTACTAACCGATGATATCAGTTGCTTAGGACAGGTCAGATTCCTGTACAGCATACTGGGTTGCCAACAGGAGTACAGACAGCAGCAAAGAGGAGACAGCCAGGAAGAGGAAGAGAGAGATCTGGGAGATGTGGGTTGTGCTCTCTCTCTCTACGGCCTGTATTCAGCAGTTAACACAGAGTGGATTGGAATGTACAAGGTTCATCTACACCTAGGGTCACCATTTGACGCTGACTGGCCTATTCTTTTGAGGGTTAGATTAGGTATCTTTCAGTTACCATACAGTCCATTCGGGTTTTTTAAAACGGAACTTCAACATTGACTATTTTTTTTTTTTTAATCTTTGTGCTGCTAGCATTAGTAAACAGATAGGAAAATATATCATGTTTACTTGTTTAACTTTTCTTTTACCCATTACTGATTATTTTTTCAGTTACTTCCTGGTTTCCAGGCAAATTATGTCATACAACCAAGGAGTCTTTTGGGAAGGGAGGAGGGGCTTTCTCAGTTAAGCACAACCTCATGCCTGCAGTCTGAGCCAAGGGCAGATGGATTCCAGGAACTAAATGCTTTGAACCATTTGCCCTTTCTCAAGATGGCCATGGCCAGAAATGCTAGGGGGGTGTTTTTAAAAGTGATTTCTTGGGAAAATAAAGCATGGATACATAGGTGGGAGGAGTTTTTTTTTCATATATATTAACAATTAATTAAATGGTGTTCTCAGATGCAGTATAGGTCCGCATTAACCACTAGGCTCCTGTTATAAGGTGTAAGGTGATACTACTGTCTTGTGACTCAAGTGTGGCACAGTCTTAGTCCTTTTTTTTTTTTTGGTGAAGCATTTCTAGTGTGTTCCCTTCTTTGTTGATGGCAATGCTCCTGGACCCTCCATTGGAGTGTTGTGTATCACAGTGACCAGGATGACAAACATCCTACTTCTGAGCAAATCTTTTGTTGATGAAGTACATCAAGGGAAGGTTGTTCTGTTGACATCACCTCACTCTTATATATGGACTCTACATGACTGCTAATGTCAGTGGTAGAGCTGAATGAATATTGTTTGTTGTGTGAGTTTCTTTGTGAGTGGGCTGCTGTTTTTTATTATTCGAATAAAGTTTTTAGATTATTTTAAGCAATGAGAGCCTCCTTATGTTTTTAATTTTCTGAGATGCAATCTTAATGGATGGGGGAATTTACGCATATGAGAGGCAGATCATCCAAAAGTACTGTTGGACTATACTTTAAGTGGGTTTTCCTAATCTGGTGTGGGTGATTCTTTATTTCTCTGTTGAACATTGAACATCATCTTTGCTACATTTTATCACTGCTGGGTTGCAACATTTTTTCTCCTGGATTTTTCACTTTATTAATATAAATTCTCTTCTTGTGCCTTAGCACAGTGGGGAAAATAATTAATTGATCCCCTGCAGATTTTGTACGTTTGGCCACTTACAAAGAAATGAAGATTCTATAATTTTTTTATCATAGGTGTATTTTAAATGAAAAAGACACAATATCAACCATAAATCCAGAAAAAACACTTGATACAAATGTTATAAATTGAGTTGCAGTTCAGTACTTTGTGGAGAAACCCTTATTGGCAAGCACAGGGGTAAGAGGTTTCTTGTAGTTGGTTACCAGGTTTGCACACATCTCAGCAGGGATTTTGGTCCACTCTTCTTTACAGATCTTCTCTAAATCCTTAAGGTTTCTTGGCTGTTGCTTGGCAATTCAAAGTTTCAGCTCCCTCCATAAATTGTCTATAGGATTAAGGTCTAGAGACTGGCTAGGCCACTCCATGACCTTAATGTGCTTCTTCTTCAGCCACTCTTTGCCTTAGCGGTATGTTTTGGGTCATTGTCATGCTGAAAGACCCATCCACAACCCATGGTTGAGAGAAGAAGGTTCTCATCCAAGATTTTACAATACACGGCCCCATCCATTCTCCCCTCAATGCTGCAAAGTCGGCCTGTAACTTTAGCAGAGAAACAGCCCCAAAGCATAATGTTTCCACCTCCATGCTTAACTGTAGGGATGGTGTTCTTGGGGTCATAGTCAGTATTTTTCTTCCTCCAAACACAGCTAGTTGAGTTATTGCCAAAGAGCTCAATTTTGTTCTCCTCTGACCACAGCACTTTCTCCCAATCCTTCTCTGAATCATTTAGATGTTCATTGGCAAACATCAGATAGGCCTGTACATGTGCCTTCTTGAGGAGGGGGACCTTGAGGGTGCTTCAGGATTTCAAACCATTGCGGCGTATTGTGTTACCAATGGTTTGTTTGGTGACTGTGGTCCCGACTGCCTTCAGATCATTTACAAGCTCCTCCTGTGTAGTTCTGGGCTGATCCCTCACTTTTGTCATGATCACCCTTACCCCATGAGGCAAAAGCTTGCATGGAGCTCCAGACCGAGGGTGATTGATTGTTATTTTGTATTTCCTCCATTTGAAAATAATCTCGAACAGTTGTCTCCTCACCAAGCTTTTTGCTGATGGTCTTGTAGCTCATTCCAGCCTTATGCAGTTCTACAGTCTTGTCCCTTACATACTTTGACAGCTCTTTGGTCTTTCCCATGATGGTGAGTGAGGTTTGAATGGAAGAAAGAGATTCTGTGGGCAGGTGTCTTTTTATACACATAATGATTCGTAGTTAGGAGCACCTTCTTAAATTCCACATGAACACATAGCCAATCCCTGGGAGCTAGAATTATTGTTGGTTGGTAGGGGATCAAATACTTATTTTACTCACTGAACTGCAGCTCAATTTAAAACATTTGTATTGTTTTTTTTCTGGATGTATAGAACCTTCATTTGTAAGTGGGCAAACTTACAAAATCTTCAGGGGATGAAATAATAATTTCCCCCACTGTACTGTAGTTCTGTATCTGCATTGTGATATCTAAGGCACTGTACATGTGATTGCAAGTCTCACAAGATTTGGAGTGAGATTAGGTATCATTACTATCCTACTCACTTTTCTCTTTACTGTGGAGGGGGCTGTACCTGAGATAAGGATTGCAGTTAAGGATCTTCTTGCTTCTGCTTCATTATGTGGATCTGTGTTTTCTGAACCTCTCCTACTTGTCATCGGAGGGGCAGCTCTGACTGGAGGAAGCCAAGCCATGTTTCTACCAAGATAGCCACCTTCTGTAGAGTCAGTGTAATGGGTAACGGGTCAGTAATGGGTAAACTATCAGCTGCAGAGAGCCCACTGGTAATTCAGGGGACTAGCTAATTTCCTTTATTTAGGTCTCAGTTTGCACATTTTCAGTGTTTTTTTTTTTTTTTTAAGATTACGTTGACATTTACAAGTGTAACTGTCCATACTAAAAGATTAGAGAACTCTGTAGAGGTGTTGCTTGCCAACCATGGCCTAAGACCCTGGTGGGATATAGAAAAGTAAACATAATTGTTGGATCAATAAAGCTGGTAAATATGAAATACCCAGTTCAGGTCCTTTTCATTGTAAACTAATACTATGTCATTTTGTATTAATATAACTACTGAAGTGTATGCTCTGTGCACAGTGTAGGGCCATTACACAGTGATTTGGAGTATACCATTTCTGCTCAAAAGGAAGGTTTCGTTTTGACTGCTGTTGATGGAACAATTGGGGACTTCAATGCATTTGCACTTGCAGGAGTCACTTTTGAGGTATGTAATTGCGGATCAGCTTACTATCATGGAATTTTATAGGATGTTTTTTTTAGAAAGTTTGTTGATTTATATTGCACTGTATTGCATTTAACCCTTTTGCTGCTGGGACAATTTTCCTTTTTTCACATGCCTGTTAAAAATGCACATTTTTGCCTTGATTTCCAAAACTATATTTCTTCTATGTTGGACTCTATACCTGCAGGTGGGGGTCCAGGTTCCCAATCAGTGTGGTATTCTAAAAGGCGTTTTGACCCTGTGGGGTCGCTTCATGGAGGTGAAGGGGCATTTCACCTAGTGTTGGACTCCCGATATCTAGCCCTGCATATACATACATTTAGGTGGTTTTGGACTTTTTTGAGCTAAATTCTTTTTGGAGTTAGATACACTTTATAAATTGATTATTTATATCTACTTTTGGAGGTTTTTGATGTATTGATTGTGTCACGGATTCACGTGTACGCCACTTTTTCTATCTCCGAAATTGGGGTCACATATTTCTTTTTTTTATAGGCGGTGCAGCCTATATTTTTTTCTCACTATGTTGATTGTGTCACGGATTCACGTGCACGCCACTTTCCTATCCCCGCTATTGGGGTCACGTATTATTAGTATTTTTTTCTCCTTCATATTTATAGGTGGTGCAGCCTATATTCTTTTTTCACCATATACAGTGGGGCAAAAAAGTATTTAGTCAGCCACCAATTGTGAAAGTTCTCCCACTTAAAAAGATGAGAGAGGCCTGTAATTGGCATCATAGGTAGACCGCAACTATGAGAGACAAAATGAGAAAAAAAATCCAGACAATCACATTGGCTGATTTGGAAAGAATTTACTTGCAAATTATGGTGGAAAATAAGTATTTGGTCAATATCAAAAGTTCATCTCAATACTTTGTTATATATCCTTTGTTGGCAATGACAGAGGTCAAATGTTTCCTGTAAGTCTTCTCAAGGTTGGCACACACTGTTGCTGGTATGTTGGCCCATTCCTCCATGCAGATCTCCTCTAGAGCAGTGATGTTTTAGGGCTGTCACTGGGCAACACGGACTTTCAACTCCCTCCAAATGTTTTCTATGGGGTTGAGATCTAGAGACTGGCTAGGCCACTCCAGGACCTTGAAATGCTTCTTACGAAGCCACTCCTTCATTCCCCGGGCGGTATGTTTGGGATCATTGTCATGTTGGAAGACCCAGCCACATTTAATCTTCAATGCCCTTGCTGATGGAAGGAGGTTTGCACTCAAAATCTCACAATACATGGCCCCATTCATTCTGTCCTGTACATGGATCAGTCGTCCTGGTTCCTTTGCGGAGAAACAGCCCCAAAGCATGATGTTGCCACCCCCATGCTTCACAGTAGGTATAGTGTTCTTTGGATGCAACTCAGAATTCTCTCTCCTCCAAACACGACATGTTGTGTTTCAATCAAACAGTTCTATTTTGGTTTCATCTGACCATATGACATGCTCCCAATCCTCTTCTGGATCATCCAAATGCTCTCTAGCAAACTTCAGACGGGCCCGGACATGTACTGGCTTAAGCAGGGGGACACGTCTGGTACTGCAGGATCTGAGTCCCTGGCGGCGTAGTGTGTTACTGATGGTAGCCTTTGTTATGTTGGTCCCAGCTCTTTGCAGGTCATTCACTAGGTCCCCCCGTGTGGTCCTGGGATTTTTGCTCACCGTTCTTGTGATCATGGGGGTGAGATCTTGTGTGGAGCCCCAGATCTTGGGAGATTATCAGTGGTCTTGTATGTCTTCCATTTTCTAATTATTGCTCCCACAGTTGATTTGTTCACACCAAGCTGCTTGCCTATTGCAGATTCAGTCTTCCCAGCCTGGTGCAGGTCTACAATTTTGTTTCTGGTGTCCTTCGACAGCTCTTTGGTCTTCACCATAGTGGAGTTTGGAGTGTGACTGTTTTAGGTTGTGGACAGGTGTCTTTTATACTGATAACAAGTTCAAACAGGTGCCATTGATACAGGTAATGCGTGCAGGACAGAGGAGCCTCTTAACCAATTCAATACCGGGCATTTTACCCCCTTCCTGCCCAGGCCATTTTTCAGGTTTCAGCGCTCTCACACTTTGAATGACAATTGCACGGTCATACAACATTGTACCCAAACTAAAATTTTGTCATTTTCTTCACACAACTAGAGCTTTCTTTTGGTGGTATTTAATCACCACGGGGTTTTTTATTTTTTGCTAAATTAACAAAAAAAGACTGAAAATTTTGAAAAAAAAAACAGTTTTTCTTTTGTTTCTGTTATAAAAGTTTGCAAATAAATAATTGTTCTTCATAAATTTAGGCCAAGATGTATTCTACTACATGTCTTTGGTGAAAATAACCCAAATTAGGATGTATTTTTTAGTTTGTAGGAAAGTTATAGAGTTCACAAACTATGGTATATATCTGAATATTGATCAATCCTGAAGTACTGACAGCCAATCTAATTTCTTGAGGTCCAAGAATGTCAGAATAGTACAGATATCCCCCAAATGACCCCTTTTTGCAAAGTAGACAGTCCGACGTACTTCATAAGAGGCATGGCGAGTTTTTTGAAGTTGTATTTTTTTTTTTTCAGAATTTTTCGGAAAATGAAAAAATAAAAAAAATTATTTTCACTTTTTTCTTTTTTTTTTTTACATACTGTCACCAGTGCAGTACAGCGTCATCATATAACTGGCATGGCGGTGATCAGGCACACTGACTGGTGACAGTGTGAAAAAAAAAAAATATATATATTTTTTTATTTTTTTTTATTTTAAATTGTTTATTACATTTTTTTCTTTTTTTAAGATTTTTTTTTTTTCATATTTCACTATGTCCAAAGTAGTACAATGTTACCATAGTAACATTGTACTACTTTGGGGAAGTGATCAGTATTCCTTTTTTTTTTTTACACAATTTGCTTATAGCAAAGAATTACTTTGCTATAAGCAAGCATTTACCTGAATGACATCGATTCATTCAGGATTTTTATTTTTTTTTTTTGTGCTTAGCTGTGATTTGGCCACAGCTAATCACATGACATGTGCATGTGATTAGCTGTGACCATTCACAGCTAGACACTAGTATACAATGGATGGCATGAATGAAGCCATTCATTGTATACAAATGTCATGTGACCTGCTGTGATTGGTCACAGCAGGTCACATGGTACCGGCAACAGGGCCGATACTCAGATCTGTCATCGGCTGTGTCCAAGGTACACGGCCGGTGACATATTGCGCCGCTGCACGGCTCTGCAAGTGCGCAAATTGCGCATGTGCGGGAGTACGCCATATGGCGGCCTCCCGGAAAGCTAGTGCATTTTTTACGGACGCCATACGGCTATTGGCCGGGCGTCAAATGGTTAAAGAAGGTACAGGTCTGTGAGAGCCAGAAATCTTGCTTGTTTGTAGGTGACCAAATACTTATTTTCCACCATAATTTGCAAATAAATTCTTTCCAAATCAGCCAATGTGATTGTCTGGATTTTAATTCTCATTTTGTCTCTCATAGTCGAGGTCTACCTATGATGCCAATTACAGGCCTCTCTCATCTTTTTAAGTGGGAGAACTTGCACAATTGGTGGCTGACTAAATACTTTTTTGCCCCACTGTACAGTATATAATGGTGTCACTTAGTCACTATATTTCTCCTTATCCCCATTTGGGATCACTATTATATGGTTCATATTTTTTCTTTAGTCATACATCAGTTGGTTTGTGTTGATTTATGTATAATATTCATTTGCGGTAAAATTGTGGTTTTTCACTTATAATACCTTATTCACATTATTCACTTATGGGCACTTTGAGTCTTTTTTTTGGTAGATTTTTGGATTATACCAGGTTTGCACTTATATACCAGTGGGTATATTCTCACATCACTTATTTATTTGTGCTATTCAGCACAACAGTAGGGGGATTCTATTTATCACCAATTTTTTTGGTTTCACTGATTTATATGGTTTATTATTTCACGTCTTTCTGATTATATCAGTTTTGCACATATTTGTCACAACCCATGTTTTTGTGCAATTTAGCACAGGAGTGTGGAGTTTATTCCTACTACTATTTTTTGGGTTCATTGGTATTTATGATTTAGGATTTCATGTGTTTTTTTTTTTTTTTTATCAATTTTGTGATTTATAGTCACATATAAGTACACCCTAGGTATTATATTTTGGGGGGTTCTGGTATATATTCATGTAGATTTCATTCATTTTTATGCAATTTTGTATTTATATGTTCTTTCTGTGATGTTTTATGTGTGAGCGCAGCACCACATTATATTATCTTATTCTTGTCCATTGTGGTATGTGGTAGGGTGTTAGCAGCTTTATTTAGAGTTTTACATTCTGAGCTCAGGAGGACTATACAGTTATATAATAAGGGTCAGATCTTGACACTTGAAATCTTGCTCTAAAGACCACAACCTTCCCATTCCTTAAATTCCCAGAATTTTTGTACTTGCTGTGAAATCTATTTCTTAGAGTTGGAGTGACACTGGATCTCACCCCCTGTGCCTTTGATCATCCTCTTTGTACTCTTTGTAAAGAGCAGTGCCAGCTAAGCAATTTCTAAAACAGATTTGTAAAACCGGCTGTTTTGTGAGATGTAAGGTTGTTTTAACCCTTTGATTGCTAGAATTTATATTATACATTCTTTACAGTCAAACGGTAAAATATATCCGAACTGTTTAAAAAAAGGTTGCCAAAAGCAGTCATATTCCAGATGTCTTTTGTCATAGTGTTTGTGTATGTGTGTCTGTGTGTATATGTGTGTGTTCAAAAGGTTTGTGCACCTGTGTGTGTATATATGTGTGTGTGTGTGTGTGTATATATACATACATATAGTCAGGTCCATAAATATTGGGACATCGACACAATTCTAACATTTTTGGCTCTATACACCACCACAATGGATTTGAAATGAAACAAACAAGATGTGTGTGTTAACTGCCGACTGTCAGCTTTAATTTGAGGGTATTTACATCCAAATCAGGTGAACG